AGGTTAGAGAATACATATTCATTCAGAGAACAAGGATGGTAGTTTAAGTCAGTTACGGTATAGAGGTTTGAATTTTATATAATTTAATTTGAACACGCGGGACTGCCAATATCTTTGGCCAAGCAGGCCGGGATACGCGTCCGCGTTAAGGAGTGATGAGGGGGACAGGAACCCCAAGAAGAGGGGGATATCAGCGGGAGTTACTATCCTGCTGGTGGATCACGTTCAGAGCCCCATGAATTGGGGGGCAACCGGGAGGAGCTACTATCCTTTCTGGTGATCACGTGACCAGAGATCCTCAGGATTATTCTGAAAAATTAATTCTCACAGTTTGATATTGCAGATAGGATTATATTACATGTATTTTGGTTTTGAGTTTCGCAGAATTATGTTCCTGAGTTTTCATGTTCGTACATAGCAATTTGCATCATGTATGTGTATTGGTATTACAGGCAGATATTGCCTATTTTAAATGTTAACGCCTTGAAGCGGAAATAAATGTCGAGCAATTGCAATTCATGTTCGTACAGTTGCTTTCTTCACAAAATAACTCTTTATTTTGTTTTGCATTGAACTATATGCAATTTAGGGGGGCTCTTTTATGACTTTCGGGAGCTCTTTTTGGCATTTTGGGGGCTACTTCGCCCCAAGCCCCCGTGTATTGTTTCCCCCTCTACTACTACCCAAGCCAACATCAATGCACAGTAAATTTGACTGTAGACACACACAAAATACTTCATGAATCATGACAATCAAGGTAGAGCATGGTAGGCATACACACCCTCAAGAAAGATTACTGAGAGTCCCTTTCAGGACTCCTCAATCCTCCCTCTCTCTCTCACATGGTGCACCCGCAAGCCTACTGTATGGAATGAAATTTGTTTTTTTGTGTATGTTAAACAGGAGAGGAATGGAAACTAAATTCAATCTAGTAACTGAATGATGAGTAGGCCTTAATGATCTACATTTATTTGAAGGACACAGTACACATACACATGGCAATAGGCATTGCTAAACTTGCCTTAAATATATATATTTGAAAAAGGCATTGCAACCAGTGAAAACAGCATTAAGGTAAAGACCAATTTTGGAAACACCCCCCCCCCCCTCTCAAAAAATGAAATGGAAGTTCTCATTACCAATCATGTGAAAGAATATGCTTTGACTATACGTGATGATACAAATTTTGCCGGGAAACCGTCTACTACTTGATATATTTGGTAAATTATCATATAATAATAATAATAATAATACATTACATTTATAATGTGCTTAATACAATGTTTCTAAGCGCAAGAAAAAGAAAGGATAAGGAAGGAAAAGTGAGAAATACTATAGGAACATGTTAAAAACATTGAATTACAAGTAAACGGCAAATAAGAAGAATATGTCATTACACAAAGAAGGACTGCATGAAAATTGATTGAAATATATAGATAAAGCAGATATGGACTCAGAATTATAATAAACCATCATGTGAAATATTAAAATACAACTTAAATGCAAATTATTATATTCAATATAACAATTATGCATCTTAAAATACATATCATACAACATTATGCAATAGAAATTACAATATCATTAAACTTTCAGATCATCAGGTAGTCCTGTGCCCCCCTGAGCCTTCCTTCTCAGCTCCTTGTCCAAGAAAATTGAAAAAAGAAATGAGAATCTACAGTCATAATAAGAAAGCTCTATTTGCGAATGATATCGTAGGAGTGAATTGGTTACCACTTTATAGAACTCCATCTTGTCAGCACAAATATGAAATATTTGAAAGCATAATCCATTCACTTATTGAGAAGCATTTTCCTTTTAAAACAGGAATTAAGGGCATATTCTTTGAAGTGGGCCAGTTTTATAGATACAAACATTTGCAATAGGCTATGATTTGAACCTGTTGCATGCATAGTGTCTGGCTGTCTTTTCCTGTGTCAATTTCGGTCCCTTTTTTAGTTAGTAAAGAGACCACTTTGTGCCCGGGACCACCTGTACAATTTGTCAACAATCTTCACATTGCTAGCAAGTTTTACAGGTAGTTGAAAACCAACTTCGTCAGCTGGGAAGCACAGAGTGTTGTCTCAACACAACATTGCAAACCATGGATTATTATGAGGTGAAAAAGATATAAATGGAATGATGACGCTGAAACACATGTATTAAAGCATTACAAACTGAGAAATATCAGCCAAAAGAGGGCGGGAAAAAAAACTGAAAAATATTGGCCAAAAGAGGGCGACAAAAAAAAAAGTTTAAAAAAATAAAATCTTATCCGACTGACCGACCGACCCATGTTTTGGCACCCAAAGGGCAATGCAACAAGTTTTTATTTTAGGCCTTATGGAAAGAGGTGGGTTTTCAGGAGAGACTTAAATAATTCTAATGTAGGGGCTTCTCGTATATAAATGGGGAGATTATTCCATAACTTGGGGGCAATAACTGTAAATGAGCGGTCTCCGTAGTGTGTCTTGGTGCGAGGTCCAGGTAGCAGTTGAAGGTGGGCAGTAGCATGGGAGCGTAAACGTCGAGATGCAGAGGAAGCTAATGAGGATCGGAGTGAGATGAGGTTCTCTAGGTATGAGGGGGCTTGGTTGTGAATAGCTTTGTAGACAAGTAGGAGGATTTTGAAGACAATGCGTTCCTGCATCGGTAGCCAGTGAAGAGACTGGATGATTGGGGTAATGTGTTCAGATTTCTTGGTACGTGTGACTAGTCTAGCGGCAGTATTCTAGATGCGTTGAAGGGGTGCAATGTGGGATAGAGGTAGACCGGCTAGAAGGCTATTACAATAGTCGAGGTGAGATGACATGAATGCATGGATAAGTTTTTCCGTAGCAGGATTGTCGAGATACTTTCGGATTCTGCCAATCCTAGCTATTCCCCAAGAAGCTGTCCTGCACTTGTTGGGTATATGTTGAGCAAGGGAGAGGTGCTTGTCGAAAATTACACCAAGATTTCGTATACACTCCGACTTCTGCACACAACCTCCAAAAAGAGCCTGAGGGGGAAAATCATCAGACTGCTGCCTGAACCTAGAAGATGTATGCAGCATTTCAGTCTTCGCGTCATTAAGTTTCAAGTTGATGGTTGAGGACCATGTCTTGACATCACGTAAACAATCTGTAAGTCTACTAATGGCATCTCTTCTGTTGCCGACATCAGCTCTCATAACGAGGTAAAGCTGGGTATCATCTGCGCACATGGCATGCTGGATGCCATGGTGCGAACTGATCACATGGCAAAGAGTACCAGTATAGAGGGTAAATAACAGGGGGCCCACTACAGACCCCTGAGGCACTTCCCAACGGAGAGGAAAGGATTGTAACGGTGACCTCCTTACAGTTACTCTCTGGAAACGACCACTAAGATATGGCTTTATCCACTCCAGAGCAGATCCCTTTAGGCCGTGGCAGGTTTCGAGCCGACTGAAGAGAGTCGCGTGGTCCAGGCAAGCAAATGCAGATGAAAAGTCTAAAAGGACTAGACAGGCTTCAAGTCCGTTGTCAGCTGCTAACAGAAGGTCATTGGCAACCTTTAACAAGGCTGTTTCTGTTGAGTGATGATGCCGTTACGCCGACTGTTTCGCTGGGAATAAGTCGTTGGACTCCAGATAAGACCTGAGCTGAATGGATTCGAACCTCTCCAACACCTTGTCAAGGAAGGGTAGGTTGGCGATTGGTCTATAGTTCTTAAAGTCATTCCTGTCGAGCGATGACTTCTTTAAGAGAGGTGTGATGAGGCAGGTCTTAAATGCCTTGGGGACTTCACCAGACATGAGGGAGAGGTTGATTGTCGATGTGATGATCAGCAAAAGTTCGTCAACGCAAGTCTCTACGAGCCACGATGGCACCGGGTCCAAGCTGCATGATTTAGGCTTGAGCGAGTCAATGAGTTTCTTCACTTGATTTAGGGAAACAGGTATAAACTCTGAAAGACATTTGTCTGGCCCCAAGTCAGGTACTCGATTTGCACCAGACAGAAACTGTGGGTTTGCAGCAGAGGTCTGAACTCCGGACACGGTACTGGCGATCTTATCATTGAAGAAGTCTCCAAAAGTATTGGCCAATGCAACAGCAGTCTGGTGTTCAGGAAGGATGGTTTCCTGACTGGAAGGAGAAGTAAGTCTCTTGACAATGCGAAAAAGCTCTTTGGTGTCAGCTTTAGCAATCTTAGCAGTCAAATGCTTGGATTTGGCTTCGTAAAGGGCAGTGTAATAAGACAAACACTTTTCCTGGTACTGTTGTTTGTCGAACGAAACGCCAGAGCTCAACATCCGTCGTTCTGCTTGACGCCTGATTCTCTTGGCCTCTCTCAACTCCTTTGTGTACCATGGAGCAGATGGTCGAACTGTGACAGTCTTTCTCTTCATCGGGGCATGTTTGTCGATGAGCTGGATCAGGGTATCATTATACACACCGACTGCTTCAGAAAAATGCTCTGGCGTTGACGTAGCCAGGGAAGAATTCAGAATATCTTGTTTAAAAGATGCAATGTCAACATTCCAAAATTGCCTGTACTGCACAAGTTTCTTTGTGTTCTTGGGAGCGGTAAGGTTGACGTCAGCGATGATTGCTGAATGATCAGACGGGAGCCCGTCAAAAGATGTAAATTCAATCCTGCTATCGATCCGGCCTGGATAGATATCCTGAATGCACTTCAACATTGAACATTTGGGCATATATTTCTTTTTTTCTGCAAATTTAGGTTGAAGTACTGCCATCTAAACCTCTGAAGGCAATATTTAAATAATATTGAATTGATATTTTGCACCCAAAACCCTTGAACCGCAATTTTACCACTACCAGTCTTTACCTTTAAGCAAATGCTGATTGTTCTTGGTTGTTTGACATCTACATTGAAAGCACTAACAAAACATGACATATACTAAATTGACAATGTTGTATTTCTGACTGAATTACTTAACAGCATAAGGCTGAATATCTATTTAATGACCCAGTGCTTACGTCACATAGAATGATAAGCAGGGGGAAAAAGGAAAGACAAGATTGAACTCACTTGCAGAAGGACTTTGGCACATGTCCTGCAAAGGCTGGTAATACAGGTATCATTCCCAACTCTCTCATCCTCTTCAAGATCTTATGTTGGAGAGCCAGCTGATTGGTGTGCCATGATTGGGGTATGGGTCCACCCCACCCATCAATGTTACCCATACGGGCCCTGATTTGAAAAAACAAAAAATGAACATTAACCTAGGGGAGAATGAGCAACTTTGGATTAAAACTATGATTGCATGTTAAAGCCCCACCGCACTAGTTTGGCCAGAAGGGATTAGACTTCCCAGCATTGTCACTGACAGGTGGTTATCTCATCAAATAAGCTCTCAACTATAACATAAGAAAAGGAGGATCATGGGATTTGATCTGTCTCAAAAATCTGTCTGATTTGTCTCAAAAAGGTTAATAACCATTTTTTTTGCAAGGGACTACAAGACAGAAGGCAGTAGTCAAAACTCAATGCAATCGCAATGGAGAAAACTAGATGACGTATCCATGTTTTCACAATCTTTCACTTTTTTTGTGGGATAATTTATTACAGTGGTCAAAACAATGTATGGGTCAGCCACAAACTGTATATCAGATGTATCTAATCTAAACTAACAAAAATAGCACAAAGGTGTGTTCTTTTTGCCTGCAAACTAGGCAGGTAAAAGAATAAACTAGCTTTTTGTTATTCCCCTTTGGCAAACATACAACTGAATTTAAAATTTCTCACCCTATAAATGCATTTCACATTAAATTTTCCTTGACTTGACCAGCTTATTTTTTATGGCCAAGATAATTTTGATAAACCCACGAGGGGTCAATGTCATCTACAGTGCTAAAATGTCTAAGCTGTCTAAATACCGCGCAAGGATTGCTTGAGCAGGTCCTCCTGTTCCATGCCCATTTCAGATAGACTTTCTGCCAGATTGATTACAGTCTTTTATCAGGAGGTCTTGAGGTCAAGATCAAGTCTGACTCATCAAAAACCCACAAGAACTAGGCTGGCCTACATGTAACTACACTATTAAAGATTCAAGATAACTTATTGTCTGATTTAATATAGAAATTAGTCCTCCACTAGTGGAGGACTAATTTCAGTACTAGTGAGTGACATACATATACAAGCAACATAAACAATATATACATTCGGGGATGAACAGAAAATACAACAATAATAATATTAACAATAATAGCAATAACAAAACTGGCATTAAAAATTGAATCTCGACAATTACAACAATGCACTGAATGCATGAAATATATATGTGCTCTGAACATTCACCCCTTCCCTCCCAGGAATGGAGCATGATGAAAAAAACAGAGACGAGAACAAATGAGAGAGAAAGAGAGAGAGAGAGAGAGAGAGAGAGAGAGGAGAGAGAGAGAGAGAGAGAGAGAGAGACTTGTCGCATGGAGTAGAAAAGTAAGAGGAAATGTGAGGGAGAGAATGAAGGTGACAGAAAACGTAGAGCTCTGGGAGGTAAGAGATGAGGTAGAGTACACGCTATCAAGAACAGTGACTCGAGTCCATTACTCTTGAAAAAACAAACATACCATGCCAGGAAGGCTGGTCCACCAAAGTGTTTGTCCAGATCCTTCTGTTCCAGGCCCATCTTGAGGTAGACCTTCTGCCAGATAGCCTCCTGACCATTGAAAGCCAGTGGAAGGTTGATACCACTCAGGGCCATCCAGTCAATGTGCCTCTCCCAACGCTCCCAGTCCCACCAAGCAAACGTGTAGCTCACAGTGCACACATTCTGGTAGTAACGGAATCTACAGTATGCAATATAAATATATAAAAGGGTATAGATCTATGATGAATTTAAGTTGATGACTTGGGTTTAGGGTCAGGGTTAGGGTTAAGTGAACATATTTCTATATCTTTTTTTTGTCCTTTCTTTTCGCACTTGCACGGATCAAAATCAAAGTTTGAAGGTGAGATTAATCTATATCAAGAATTCATTTCTACAAGTCATTTTTTCCTCTTTCCTATAGGAACATAAAGCGAAAGAATACCGTACTCAAACTGATTACTAATACATCAGGCAAGTGAGCAAGTTGACTGGAATAATGCACTAAGATAAGACTTGGTTGCTTCATTAGAGTTGATAATATACTCTACTTCTCAGTATCCCAGCTCAATAACAAAACCAAAGTCTCATATTCACCTGTTTGGACTGGTAACCCTTAACAGGGGTTGTATCACAGGCCACTGCCCATCTGGAGGCAGGTAAAGTTGGTCACCATCCCATGATATGTGACAGTTGCAGTAATGGACCAGGTAATGTTGGACACCCCATACTGTAGCTACTCCGGTAGTACCGGTTACCTGAACAGTGGTCCCATCTGCTGAAATCTGTTAAGATTAAAGGTAATACAATGTTTTGGTATGGTGTCATGAATTTGGTTCAAATGAACATATGGGAAGCATATGCGATCCTACAATATTTCGCTGTCAAAATCGAGTCTAAAGTGATGAAATTGTAAATAATAAACTCTTTAGATTGTATAGCTCCCTCACAAGACTGATATTACTTTAGCTTTAAAAGTATGATCGACCAATTTGCTATTCCCGTTTGGAAATTATATATCGGACCTGCATATACTGAGATTTTCATGGTCGCAGCTATCATGAAATTGGCCTTAGGTGCTATTTGAAATATTTGAAATTTACCGGGAGCATCGCTAAATTTTTCAATTTCAATTTCTCGAAAGCAAAAGTGATTAAGGGGCTAAATTTCTAACTTGCATATAATACATCCACAGGGGCATCCAAATATATCAACATTTTAAAGAATAACTATCCATCCAATTTTCAAAATTTCCCAAAACTTTGCATTACCTTTAAAATCAAAGCTATTGTGATGGCTGCTTGCAAGAAGGCCATCTCTGATACCGACAAAATATATAATGATAATAATAATAAAAACGTTACTTAATAATAATAATATTTAATGTTCATATAGTGCTTAATACAAATGTCTCTAAGCGCTTTACAAATATACTATTACCCCGGTCATAAAGCACTTACCACCCAAGTCTCTAAGCTCTCATGGCCTTCTTCTAAGCAGCAAACAGTGTATTGTTTTTTAACTCATTATCTGCAATGGTTGGTATATCCTGCCAAAGAAAAGTACTATCCCTGGTGCTATTATATGATGTGTTTTGAGTATTTGACAAAGAACGTCTACCGGGTATAATAGAACATTTTTGTAATGTAAACAAACTTAAAACATAAGTGTTTCCAAAGTGCCTCGTTACAAATGATTTCATTCACCTGTTACAAAGAATTGCATTTCAATAATCAGAATGCAAATTGCTAATAATATGTGTTGTTGTTGCTCTTCTTTGGTTTAAGTCTACCTCCTTCACAGTTGAAGATTCTTGCAGACTAATGAGAGTGTGTATGTGCTTACAAGAGCCAGGTGCATGGTGCATAGCTATTAAGATTGTGCAAGTAAGTAAAAAGTTCCAGGGCTTAGTTGCAGCCTCCCGTCAGGCATCGACGGATGTGGCACATACTGTTCCTGATGGCAGGTTGTTCCAACTCCTCACAGTCCTGAGAAAGAAGGACTGCATATGTTGCTCAGTTTTTGAATGGGGGACTTAGTAGCTATGTGCATGGGCAGTCCTGGTGTGTCATGTGACAGGGTTGATGTAGGGTGCTGTGTCAAGTGCTATAAGGTTGTTGTGGAGCTTGTACAGCATCACCAGTCTGTAATTATCTCTGCATTGCTCAAGTGTGGTCCAGTCAAGTTGTTGGAGCATGGAGGTCACGTTAGAGGTGTTGTGGTACCGATTTAGGGTGATTCTAGCGGCCCGTCTTTGTACCATTTCTATTTGATGGATGTGGTTTACAGAGGAGGGATCCCAAACTGTGGCACTGTACTCAATGAGTGGTCTTACTAGAGCTTTGTAGGCAGTACTCTTCAGGTCTGGTGAGTTGATCCAGAGATTTCATCGGAGGAAGGCCAAGGGTGTTGTTTCAGAGGAAGTCTATTAAGGTCCTCCTGTAGTTCAAGAGAGTCTTGTCTGCTCTTGATTGCTAGGTACATGATGGCATCGTCTGCGAAGAGACGTACTGGACAGGTGAGCTTGTCTGGCAGGTCGTTGATGAAGTACAGGAATAGAGAGGGTTCGAGGACAGGTCGTTGATGAAGTACAGGAATAGAGAGGGTTCGAGGACAGAGCCTTGAGGTACTCCTGAGTCGACGTCAACCTCGGGTGATGCATGGCCTTCTAGTACGATTTGCTGGGTTTGATGGTGAAGAAAGTTGGAGATCCACCTGTTGCTTTTGCCTCTAACTCCATAGTAGTCCAGTTTGTGCAGTAGTCTCTGGTGACCGACTTTGTCAAAGGCTTTGCTGAAGTCCATGACTATGACATCGGTTTGCAGTCCTAGCTCCATGTTCTTGTGGAGGTCACTGACGAATCCCAGTAATTGCTGCTCGCAGGATCACTTTGGTCGGAGGGGGTGGAGGATGTCCTTTTCATCGCCATGCCTCATGATGCTACTTGCAAGGATGTGCTCCATCATCTTGCAGTAAGGGAGATTGGGCGATAGCTGCTTGGATCGGTTCTGTCGCCTTTCTAGTAGACAGGCACCATGTTTGCTTTGTGCCAGTCATCTGGTATCTCGCTGGTGTCATACGACAGTCTGTAGATGCTGCATAAGATGGGAGCGATGATTCTGGATAGCTGCTTCAGGATACGTGTAGTGATCCCATCAGGTCCTGGCGCTTTATGTGGTTCGAGTTTCTCAAGCATCCTCTCAATACCCTTCACGGTAATCATTATGTCGGGCTTCGATTAGTGTTCAGAAGTATCTAGAAACAGATGAGGAGGGATTGGAAATTCCTGTGTGAACACCTTCTTCAACTGTCTATTCAGGGCATCAGCTTTCTCAGCAGGGTCACCAATTAGCAGGCCATCAGATTTGAGTTCCGCAATTCCAGCACTGTCTCTTCATGCAGTTGTACTTCCCTGGACCTTCGTCGTCATCATCTTCAACAGAAGTAAAGATGGACTCGACATAGTTCCAGTAAGCTTTCCTGAGTCCAGATTGGAGTGTTCTTTTGAGATTACGGAGCTGCTCTTCCATAGCATATGGAATGAGGCCCTCTCTCTTCCGGAGGAGTTTGCACTTGTTGCTCAGTCTGTCGCTTTTCTTGATGAGTCGTCTGATGCTATTTGCCACCCATGGTAAGTTGGCTTTGTGTGGAGTCAGCTTTTGAGGAATGAAGTCATCGATGCCCTTCTCGATGCCAGTCTTGAAGATGAGCCATAGTTCAATCACAGAGGCATATGGTAGCTTAGCTTCTATCTCATCTCTGACTGCTTCCATGCTCTCCGCAAACTTCTCCCACTGAGCTTTGCTGTAGAGTAATAATTCCCTCTGCATTCTTGTTAGGTAGGGCAAGCCATGTTTGTCTGACCTAGCAACAAATATGGTAAGCAATAAACATTCTTACTAGTGATATACAATTCATTACATCTGAACTAAATACAGGGGTGATAGTAAGCACTAAATTTATTTTTTTTCCTGAACCACCCCACCCCCCCCCCCCTCCCCCCCTTGAGTAAAAAAATAAAAAAAGAGGATTCTGGGGGGGGGAGGCATCTAACAACATTCCCCCTTTTGAGTATGAAAAATGGGAGAAAATTGCAAATAATTGGGATAATAAGGGAAATATCGGGAAACCAATTTAAATCGAGTAATTATCAAGCCTGACTCTCACATCAGTCTTATCCTACCTCTCACATATTCTACAACTGCGACTTTGCTTCCCCATCAAATGGAGGTGGTCTTAGTTTTTACTCTCACATCAGTCTTATCCTATATGTCACATATTCTACAACTGAGACCTTGCTTCCCCATCAAATGGAGGTGGTCTAAGTTTCTACTCTCACATCAGTCTTATCCTATATGTCACATATTCTACAACTGAGACCTTGCTTCCCCATCAAATGGAGGTGGTCTCAGTTTCTACTTTCCAGGGGTGATAGTGAGCACTAATAAAAAAAAGGGGGGGGAAGAAAGTAAAAAGGCAACTCACAACACCACCCCCCCCCCCCTTTGAGTAAGAAAACAGGGGTCAAATCTGGAAGAAAAAAGAAATTGGGGTAAAAAAAAAAATAGAAAAAAGATAAATCAGGAAACAGATTTAAATCGGGTAATTATCAGGTTTGTGAGTAATTTGTAACAAGGCACTTCATTCAAAATACAGGGTCTTTTTCTATGTCTGTTATTCTAAAAAATACAGAGATATCTTATTTGGAGTATTAAAATCAGGAAGTCTTTTTAAACTTGCTTATTCATAATCACATTTGTACCTGTGTTATCAAAAATATATAGCAGCATACCGTATTCAACTTCAAATTCTGCAGGTATAACTTCATATCACGTGATCTGGAAGAGAAAAATAAGGAGAAGCCTTTGATTGCAGTGTGTCCCTGACACTTTGTTTCAGCTTTGAGAGATGGTGCATCACAAATCATTGCTTGACAATATTTCCCAAAACGACAATTAACTATATCATATACCAATTGATCTACACCATCACTCAATTACCTCAAAAGAATCGAGATGATCATCACTACCAATAGCAGGGTTGACAGTGACTGTGAAATGTTGGTATCTTGTGGGGAGAAGTCTCTTGATAAGTTCCTGAGCTGCAGAGGTTTGTGTTGAAGCACTTGCTTGGGGTTTCAGGTGCTTCAGCTCTTCCTCAAACCCTATAAAAGAGAACAATGAAAACATCAGGCATGTCAACTCGAAGTCTTGCCTCAGTGTTGAGAGTTAGAAAAGTGATGAGTCATTGCTCTTCAGGGCAGGTATTCAATCCGATACTTAGCATAAGTAAGAAATTTACCAAGCAAATAGCTAAGCTAAGAAATTTACCTATCTCGTATTCAAATCGTATTTTAGACTTATACTTACGTAAGACAAAATCTAAGTAAAATACTTACTGATAAGCACTGTGACATCACACGGTCACTCAAAAGTAATGCGCAACTAATGCGTTGTAATAAATGCGCACTGATATAATTGTGCGCAGGTTATAATACTGCGTAAGAAAACCATATGCCTGCCAATCAAGGCCTCCAAATAATTGGCTTAAGTCTGGTAGGGAGCTGTCTTAAATTTAGAGTAAAATACTCCAAAAGTTTGAATTGAATACCAAAATTGGCTAAGTATTTTATCTAAGCCAAATACTAAGTAAAAAGCTTAAATTTTGTACTTAAGTATTGAATTGAATACGGGCCCTGGCTCTCAGCAGAAGTATCTTAATCTACAGAGGTTGTACTCAATTTTGATCACTAGGACATTAATTGGAGTATTTGTAGTTTTTAGAGCTCATGGGAAATTATAATGCTAATTATGTGAATAAACTTCTAAAATTAGAGTTTTAGACCACATGCATGTAAGTGCAGAAAAAAAAAAAATTGCACTTTCAAAATGAATGATCATGCATTACACTGTATTTCATAGTGATACATGCAGAGCAATAGGTACACCTGGTAATGTAGTTCGTAAGTTGATCAGATACGGTTGTACTTCCTTTCGTAACTTTCAAAGTCAATCATCTTCATAAATATATTTTGAAACTCACAATTAGCCTGATAATGAACTTGACAAGTCTTGCTCATTATCTGATTGTGACTTAACCTGCATGTGGTGCATATTTACTATTTGCACTTGTAATATTTACATGAATTACTTTTATCATCATACCTGTTGTAGCATCAGCAACATGTCCATGTATAACTGCAGTGATGAAAAAAGTGAAGCACCAATGCTGAAGCATCTTGGAAAGTTCTACAGGTCCTGCAGTTGGCAAAGTCATATAATTATTATCTTTCTTTTCCTCTCTTAAGTTATGGGCAGAATGCAATTTTTTTTACACTAAAGTGCTTAAAAACATAGGATACAGGTAAGTATTATGTGTTATATACCTCACTTAAGAAATCCAGCCATCTGATTGGTCGAAATTGCATTCATAAACTTTAACTATTCCTGTTAAATTCCCAGTAAAATTCCAAACCCATAGTAATAGTTTTTTTAAATAGTTCTAAAATCCCAGTTACCATGGTTACCGGAAAAATGTTCAGTCTTGGTGAAATGGTTTGGGCGATCGATCGAGGATACCATACGTGTGCGAAGAATTGGTCGGTATTTTCATACAAGACAAGACAAAAATGGCTAAAGAAACTCTCCCAAGATTTCAACTTACCGGTATCAAATGCAAGACTCGCTGACAGCAAGAACAACAAAAAGAGTATGTAAAATTATCCATAAACATGTTCGTTTAGTTGCTGAAAATGCTTAGATCTACATGTAGTAGTAGTCAGGGTGTCTGATCGCGCACCCGATGTTGTGTGCTAATTCTTCCCATAGAGATTGCACGCAATGTAGTCTCTATGCAGTCTACGTGCACTGCACGACCATGCAAAAAAAAGTCCAAGTTTTTTTCTTTCAATTCAAGATTCAAACCTTTATCTGTTGTGATCCTCAAGGTGATACTCAATAAGTGAGGTGTCATATGAAAGTGCAGGTTTTTCTCCATATTCCCCACAGGGCCAGCCCACCCCCAAAATTGTAAAAATATCTTGCTTAGACTAGAATCTAGATCTAGTCTATAGACTACTACTCTCAAAGATACACTCATAAAAAACCGTGCAAATAAACTAGAGAAAGGCCAAGGTGGTGTCATAAGTTGACTTTTTTTTTGGCATATAAAAGTATTAATGACTGCTTTATTATTCGAGAAATAGTATAGTATTAATGACTGCTTCGTAACCTTCCCGAGAGCGTATAAAAACAACTATTTCTCGAATATTAAAGCAGTCATTAATACTTTTATATGCCGAAAACAAAAGAGTCAACTAATGACACCATCTTGGCCTTTCTCTAGTTTATCTGCACGGTTGTTTTTTATGAGTGTATCTTTGAGAGTAGACTAGATCTAGATTCTAGTCTAAGCAAGATATTTTTACAATTTTGGGGGTGGGCCGGCCCTGTGGGGAATAGATACTCTTTTCACACTGGTTTTGCTTAACCCCGTACTTTGCTTAGCCCCGTACTATCCTTAACCCCGGACTATTTTTTTGGCTTTTCACACTCGCTGTTTTTAGTCCCATACTAGCGCCTATTCCGGAATAAGAAAATTCCCGCTGTTCTCACTGCATTTCGTTAACCCCGGATATCGTGAATGTTATTATTGGACATACTTCGCATCTGGCCAGCTGCGATACGCTCCATTGCGTAGTACCGGACTATTTTTCGTTTCTGTTCTCATTCATTTGCTTAGCACCGCAATTGCGGGGTTAGCAGGAGTTAGCACCACAATTGCGGAGTTAGCCCTGCTATTTTGCAGGGTTAGTTAACCCCGTACTATAGGTGGGGTTAGCCAACTTTAGCCCACTTTGGTAAAAACCAGTCTGAACAGAAAGTGGAATAGGCTTAACCCCGTACTATAGGTGGGGCTAAGACCCCCCCTTAACCCCACCTATAGTACGGGGTTAAGCAAAATATTGCCAGTGTGAAAACAGTACTAGAGAAGAACCTGCGCTTTCATATGACACCTCACTTATTGAGTATCACCTTCAGGATCACAACAGATAAAGGTTTGAATCTCGAATTGAAAAAAAAACTTGACTTTTTTTACATGGTCGCGCAATGCACGTAGACTGCATAGAGACTGCATTGCGTGTAATCTCTTTAGCACACAACATCGGGTGCGCGATCAGACACCCTGACAACTAGATCTATTTTCGTCTACGTCTATGCTGGTACTCCATTTTCAGCAACTAAACGAACATGTTTATGGATAATTTCACGTACCTTTTTTGTTGTTCTTGCTCTCAGCGAGTCTTGCATTTGATAAGTTGAAATCTTGGGACAGTTTCTTTAGCCATTTTTGTCTTGTTTGGAATTGTCTTGTCTTGTATGAAAAAACCGCCCATTTCTTCGCACACGTACGGAATCCTTGATCGCTCAAACCATTTTTTAACATGTAAACCTATGGGGTAACAATGGAGACTGAACTATTTTCCCGGTAACCATGGTTACTGGGATTTTAGAACTTTTTTTAACCATGGTTACTGGGAATTTTACAGAAATAGTTAAAGTTTATGAATGCAATTTCGACCAATCAGATGGCTGGATTTCTTAAGTGAGGTATATATAATTGTTTTTATACGCTCTCGGGAAGGTTACAATTGGGCTATTGCCCTCGGCACGCCTCGGGTAATAGCACAATTGTAACCTTCCCTTGAGCGTATAAAAACAACTATTTCTCTCAAAGCAGTCATTAATACTATACTATACAAGTGTGACTATTACTATTAGTATTATGAAAGCTAAAAAGAACACATCGTATCAAAATTTCATACAGCGTAGCTCAATTTTCTTTTATCCTATACATGTTTTATACTTTAGATCACGGATGGCCAACCTGCTGCCCGCGAACTCTTCTGGTGCGGCACACGTAGCATTGAAAAAGTAATAGTAAAAATGCCTCATAAATGAAATGCGGCCCGCATAGCAGCGATGAAATAGGGTAAAACATTCACACACAGCTTCAGCTATTTCTATATCCATAATTTGTTTCATCAATCACAACATATTGACTCGTTACTTGTTGATACAAAATCCCTCAAATTCCCTCTCATTACATAACATTAACATCACTCGCCGTGTTAATTTCAGTTTGTAATTTCCGCATGCAGTAACATTTGTAAATATACAAATCGAGGAATATGAAACAATTACGACCCTTTTCTCCCGCCGTTGAATTTTCTCATGAATCTTAATCCTAAACTGCATGAATATTCCCCTTCCCTTTACACAGCGTTCAATGAGATGTACAGTGTACAACTAATAAAGTTAGTATATTCTTTCTGCTGTGTCCTTGATTTTGTTTGAAATAACAACCAACATGGCACCGACTTCGAGACCTGCGAAGAAAAGGAAAGTTTCTGATGAAGGCAGAACCCGCCCCCCCCCCCCCCCACTAAGTGTTATTTAGGGTACGCATTTGATGCATGTTCCCAGCAACCCCCCCCCCCCCCCTTTCAGCAAAAGTCTGGTGTGTAAAGTCAATACAGGTCGACCTTTTTCTTTCGTTACGAGTTGGAGATTTTGGGAACATGCATGGTATTTCTCCGTTCATGGAGTGGGGGGGGGGGGCGGCGGGAGGCAGAAACCAGAGTATCTAATGAAGGTTACATAGCAGAAAAGTGCAAACCCCAGAAATCACACTAAAAATGTAAGCCTGATTTTTTTTTCCACTGATTTTGTAGTTTGCTTGTTTGTTTTGGCAGGTGTGATTACCTACAGCCCGCCAAGTTATGCCAATCGTTAGCTGTGGCCCGCGAGCTTTTAAAGGTTGGCCACCTGTGCTTTAGATGTAAACAAATTGAATGCCCATCTGGCCAACAGCAGCTAAGAAACCCTATGTAATCTTAAAGTGACTCAGTAACATAGTTACATGTTGATGAAAAAAAAAGTAATTTTCGTATGAAATGTTAAAAGTCTGGAATGATATACTGTATATAGAGCCAATTCATTGCTTTGTGACAATTTACATTCACCTAAAATGTAATTAAATTGTGATAATGTAGTTGGGAGAATTACGCAATCGATCAGATCAATTTTTGTCATTAGTAAATAGTAACAGTCTGTTTTAACTCAAACTTTCGGATATCTCTAATTGTACATGTACATGTAGCATTGAAGTCACTACCTTAGCACCATTTTCTATCATCTGAACAATGTTACCAAGTCCCTTTAAAATGTGAATGCCATGATTATTGCATGTTTAGGATCAATTACCAGTATGCCGAAGGGTTAGTTCTGTATACCGTAATTAACGGTGTATTAAGCGCACTTTCTTGCCGCCAAAAAAAATTCAAAGTCGGGGGTGCGTCTTATACACGGTACACCTAAGTATATTAACACTATGCCTAACCTTAAAGCGAATATACTGGAATTTTGTTAAGTTAGCGACCGTATTGATGAATTGCTTAGATCACAGTCGCTAATTCAACACACACGCGCCCGCAACCCACCATCGATGCGGTATGCAATTGTATAGTGCACCAGTTTGCCGTGAATCCCATGAGAAAGTGTATATTAGGTCTTCATTTTAGGAAAAAATACTCCAAGAAAGATAAGAAAATGACTTGAAACTGGTAAGAAATATAACAACTTTTAATTCATGACCATTATTTGAACAATTGATCAAGATTTAGTTGATTTCCGGTATGTTTTTGTAGGGGTATAGAGTAGTGTCTCCGGTGTGAGACCGGTCCGCGGGAACTGCCAATTCTATTTTTATGCAAATACTCACAACTCACAGAATACTACAATACCCTAAATATAGAGTCCATATACATGTACTTAAATAGAAGGCTCAAATAATGTAACTGACCCACAGCGTGGTCAGCATTGTCTTCTTTTCGAAATGCTTCAAGTTCCCAAATGTGCGTTGCTGCATTACCCGGTGGGCGGCATGGCGTTACGTCATAAAGCTAATGTATATGCACAACGTCACAATCAAAGCATGTACTAAATTACTACGGGTAACCCAAATTGTTTATCTGTTGTTAAGGTTGTTAAGACTGGTGCTGTAGATTTCCGACAACGCTGACGGATACTTCGTACTGATAAGTACTTATGCTACGGACGTTTTCAGCAAAGCGGAACTTACCAGGGAATCCACGGTAGGTTTCAATCGCATATTATTGATTTCCATATACTTTTTTCTTCGACCTATACCCCTGGGCGCCCACCGAGGGTATGCCCATAGACGTAATACAAATGGACTATCGACGAAGCAGTTTCTTTGATCCTACGAGTTCCACCGGCAAGGTTTAAATTTCGCACCGATGCAAAAACCCAGCGGTGGTCCCACCGCAACCCGACAGCTGGATGCGATCACTTGCGCAATCTTGCATAATCGCTACAGCAAGCTCACGATTTGGGGTTGTTCGCTGCTCCTTCAAATCGTTGAGAACCTAGTGTTAAATTGTATGAGCGCTCTCCGCCATGCGGTCGTAGCGAACATGTTTTCGTCTTTGTGCCTGACGATATTATTGTTATTGTTTTCAGCGTTGTATTTATACTAACAATTATTATTTATTTCGATGTGTGTATTGTTCCATAATACATATTTTTTTCGTACTCATGAGTCATGTGTTGTTTATAAAGTAATTAGAAGGGCAGGATTATCATTAGATGACATAAATAAGGAAGAACTTTATGATTATGATGGGCAGTCCATATATCGACATAGTCTAGACGACGGAAATGTTGAATATTTTGCAATGGTCAATTCCAAATTTACGGACACAGATATTTATCCTAATTAGATTCTCAAAAAAAAAACGTACACATATATAGGCCTACATCAAGATAAAATAAGATAAAATCTGAGGGAAGAAAAAAAAAAGCAGTCACTCTCGGATTAACAAGTCCAAAATATAACTTGAAAAAAACATGCACCCGCCGATCTCTATCAATGGGACTACGTGTGCAATTTGGATTAGACAAAGGCACGGCAATTTAGTGGTCATGATGCGAAGAAATAACGCATTACCACAGATTTTCTGAGCACTCACGAAAACAACCCCATTCTTCCAATGCCTATAAAAAAAATGCACGCAAACGCAACAAATAACGAATGATTGTATTCGACAAACGAAGGATTTGTGATCACCACAACGTCGTTGGTTTCACAGAGAAATTAACGGAAACAGGAGAAAAAAACACTTTTTAAACTGTATTTTGTAAGCTCTTGTGGTGACTTTCCTTGCTTATATGATGAGTTTGCTACACACCAACACAAATTCGTAAAAAATCGAAGAAATCACTGATTTCAACAGCTTTTTTTACAGATTGGCGAGCATGAACAGGACGTAAACCTCATGTTTACATCCGGGGCACTATTGACGTAGTATTTAGCTGCGCATGGGCAGAAGGCTCTCCTGTCACGATTCATTCATGAAATGAGAAGCGCAAATCGTGGGAAGCATTGGTCAATGCGAAGCGACTTGGCCGATAGAGGTCGGCAAAATCCTGGTGGATCTCATAGGACCAAAGGACCCTTATCGGAGCTTATCGGAGCTTATCAAAACATGCCCGCAGCGTTGCGGTCAGACTTAATAGGTATGTTACAATGTGTGTGCTTTCGCCATGAAGGTTTCTGCCATGGGGCTGTTATGCACTATTGGAGACCAATTTGGATAGCCTAGGTAAATGTGATCTTTTGATGGGCTGATTAGATTTTTGTTTCATGATTTCTATTGGATGAGAAGAATGACATTGTTATCTTTCATTTCATACTAAACTTTTTATGATTTATGTTTTCGGCAGTTTGTTTTGCTGCACTGTTTCACAAGAGCCATGTTTAGGGCCATTCTGTACCCTGATCCCACCTACAGGATTTGAAAAAAAGTATCTAGGATGATTGGTTAACATGTGAATTTGCTTTTGGTGAAATTTCAGCAAAATCCATGAGGAGAACACTCCATTAGAAAATTTGCTCATCAAATTCACACTCTGCCTAGCACCTAATACCTTCCTAATCCCTGACAGAGGCAGCTTTTTTAATCCTCTTAGTGGTGTAGGGCCACTTAAGTTCACTATGGCTTCAGGGCAGGGTTGAGGGGATTAATTTTGTGTTCTTTAGAGCTTTTAATCCTCTTAGTGGTAATTTGACTATAACTGATCTTCATTCCCCTTTGTATGCATGCAGGTATAATTAACTAATCACATACTATCCACTATTTCATTAATATGAATGAAAAGGAATCCCTTCATGCATGCATCCCTGCCAACATTTAAATTCTGGAAATAGGTATAAATTTGGGCGGTGGGGTCCAAGCAGCTGCCTATAGGCCCCCGTCGCCCCATGAAGCTGACACAAACAAGCACTTTGACGGGCCATAAGGGAGATGATCCCCCATTTATTAAAAAAAACACTGTCAATTTTTTTTTTTTAATAATTCCATTTGATTTAGTAATATTTAGTTAAGCTAAATCCCCAGTTTAGGGTAAAAATTTGCACTAGAAGTACCTTAAATAGTTGATTAATAGCAATTAATTTGTGTGAATTACTGACATTCAGGTGCTTGAAAACTAAAATCTGTACTAAATATCTAAAATGGTGCAGTTTCTTTATTTTTCAATCTAGTTTGTAGAGTAGGATATCATTTTGAAGGGCACTTCCAGCTGCTCTACAAGAATCACTCAATGTGTAAGTTGTTTTCAGGTGAAGACCTGAACAATCTTGCATTCCTACCACATACATAGGTCATTGCATGCTGTCATTGTATCACAGTACATTCGTACACCAAAATGCCACGAACACCAGGGATTTGTCAAAAAGAGGAAAGGTTTCAATGGAACCAGGTGGGATGGTGTCAAAAGAGCCAAAGAAGATGATACTACAGTTCCTCTACAAGAGACAGCTTCAGAAAGGAAGCTAAAGCTCAACAATTCCCCTGCAGCCCCAAAACACAGCCCTGTCCCACCCATAAGGAAACGCGTCATGTTTTGGAGGGCTATTACTTGATCAGTGGGCCTCTCCTGACATCTGCCATAAAAGAAGCTCATGTATGCCCAGGAGGTAAGATAATGTTAAAACATGTATTTCATATGATGAGTGTAATGTTTGTTTAGTTTTTGCTTACTTTAAAAGGTTAATAATTATAACCCTGATTAGATATCAAGCTCGAGTGAAGCTCAAATTTAATCTGCCTGAAAGCTAATCGGGATCGTGCTATACAATAATTTAAACATTTCTTTTAAAGATCTATATATAATCACAAAAATAAATATGATATATAGTGTATATCTATTTGCACATATTGAGGGAAATGTAACTGCATCATTAACATGTTTCTATATTATATGATTGCACTTGCAGGACACCTAATTCCACTGGAGGATGCATCAAAACGGAATGGCTTACGATCATTCCTCATCCTACAGTGTTCTGTCTGTAAGGCAGAGCACTCATTCCTGACCTCTGAAAATATCTTCAAGGGAAAAAGGCCAGGGACCTGTTCCGATATTAACAGAAGGGCAGTAATGGCAGCATCAGAGGTTGGACTGGGCAGAGTGGGACTTGCTGATTTCACCAGTATACTTGGACTTTATGCCACCAGTTCAGCAGAGCTACCAGCGCCAGTTGAAAAACATAGCAAAGGCTACAAAAACGGTAAGATACATCATTCAAGTATTTGTCAAAAAGAAAATATCAGAATGAAGCTATCATTTTAGGGTATCTCCTGCTTTTGCATAAACATGTCACTAATAAGCCGTTTTATTTTTATTTTATTGACAGGCTGCCGAAGACCAAATGAAGGAGGCCGCACAGCGCCTGAGGGACAAGGCTAGGGAGAAGGACCCCTCCATCGGATCTGACGATATTGTTGATGTGGCAGTGTCATTCGATGGTACATGGCATAGGCGTGGGCACTCGTCGAATCATGGGGTGGGGGTGGTGATTTCAGTAGATACGGGGGAGGTTTTAGATCAGGAGGTTTTGTCAAAAATATGTGGGGAATGTAATGCTAAGAAGGGATGGGATAAGGAGGGGGAGAGGTATAAGAAGTGGGAGGCTGGGCATTCATGTGGTGGGGGTCACAAGGGTAGTAGTAGGGGGATGGAAGCAATAGCAGCTCAAACTATGTGGCATAGGGCAGTAACTCAATATAAGATGTAAATTCATGGTTAGTGATGGGGATAGCAGTTCTTTTAAGAAGATAGAAGAGATCTATGGGGAAGGGCATAAGGTATATAAGATGGAGTGTGTAGGGCATGTAGGGAAAAGGATGTATAAAGCTGTGGACAACTTTTGCAAGGATCATTCTGTTCAAAAATTAAGTGATGGTAAGAGGGTAGGGTATGGGAAGGGTAGGCTAAGGGGAACATCAGACACGCAATCGATAGGGAGATTATCTAGGTTATATAGGGGCGCGATACATAGGAATGCTAATAGGGACGTGTTAGATAATGTAGAAGATAAGGCTAAAGCTGTAGAAAAAATGCGCAGGGCGGTATTGGCTGTTCTTTATCACTCTGTAATGCTGAGTGATAATGACGTGCGTCACCAGTACTGTCCCGACAATGGCTGGTGTGAGTACAAAAAACAAAGGCAAACTGGATTACAACGAGAATCACTTAGATCCTGTGTTTCTCAAGTATCTGTTGCCTATATTCACGCGACTCAGTGCTCCAGATCTCCTTGAGAGATGCCTCCCAGGTATCACCCAGAAACCAGAATGAGAGCTTCAATGCTCTCATCTGGAAAAGGTGCCCTAAACACCTGTGGAGAGGTTCACGTGTTGTTCGAACTGCAGTCCACCTTGCAGCTCTTTCGTTCAACTGTGGCGCAGAGAATGGTCGCTACAGAACTTTCAAACACCTAAATCTCAGAGCTCATGCCATTCAAGCAGCGCGTAGAAGGGATTTCATTAGACCAAGTAATGCTAAATATAAAGCTAGTAAAGTAGTGTAGAAACTTAGGGAACTACGTAGGAGAGCTAAGAAAACTAGGGAAGAAGAAGAAGAAGAGAGGGATGGGGGGGGGGGGTCATATTCGATGGGTGCCCACTAATGTTATAGAGACGAGATCATTTTCAATATAACTACATTATATTGTGCGTCAATTGACCCATTTTGAAATTGGTCTTGGCGCTATAGCATTATGCATGTATATATTTGAATATTTTATCATGTTTGTAAATATCTACTCAATTCAATTTTCCTGCTGTATATACTCGTTCATAGTTTTATCCAATTTTCCTGATGTACTGTATATATTTGTTCATAGTTTTATCCAATTTTCCTGCTGTATATACTTGTTCACTCGTTTTACTTTGACAAGTACCCCTTCCCCTCCTGATAAGTGCTCTTTTCATCTCTTATAAATGCTCCTTTTATTTTGACACGTCCCCCTTTTCCTTCCCAACAAATGCTCTTTTTTTCCTTATAAGTGTCCCTTGTCCTTCTCATAATTACCCCTTTTCGTCCTTGATAAGTGCCCCGTTTATTTTAATATGTGCCTCTTTTTCAGACCAGTATTGGAAACGCCCCAATTTCAAAAAATGAAATGGAAGCTCTTATAACCAATCATGTGAAAGAATATTTTTTGAATATTACATGATGATAAAAAAATTTGACGGGAAACCGCCTACTAATTGATATATTTGGTAAATTAGGGTATCTCTCGCCTGTTGAGAGATATGAAATGCACGTGTCGCGCACGTGTGTGTAGTCCCAAATACATCTTTCTGTGTACAGTGCTTCTAACTTTATGAAGACTTGGCCAAATTTCTTATCATTCTGATGATTCCAGAACCTTGCAGTACATCAATGCTAGATGATCAACCTTTCCTGAGCGATTTCACAACGTTTCTTTCACAATGCAATCGCATGACCATAACTGGTCTTTAGCTTTAATAAGAGCCACTTCCCCTTCTCATTACCCTTTTATCAATGATATGTGCCCAATTTCTTTTCTAATAAAGACCCTATCCCTTTTTCATAAATAATTTTAAAATTGAATGTCCTTGTTGTAATTTAAAGGTTTTTTGGAGATGAGTTTCACTATATTTTTGTCTGCCCCTTTTTCAGGAAACTGATAGGCAGTTATACTTAGATCGACAGTTTGTAACCCTAGCACATTTCACATGGAAAATTGTTTAATAGATCTAGTGTTAAACAATTAAGAAAACTTGTAAAATTCATAACAGTAATAATACAATTCTTTTCGTTGGATCTCAAGGCTGAAAGGCATGGTCTTATTTTGTTAATAAGAGTGTAGTTACTCGTAGTGGTAGACAAACCAAACCACGTGATATTTTAGACTTATAGACGTATAGTGTATGCAGTCTTTAGCTCGTGTTTATTGTGTTTTAGAAATATCCAAATGGTATATATCATGTCTATGTATTTTATTATCATATCTTACTTTGTTTTATATATCTTTCTGTATTGAGAGACGGTACCTTTGCACAAGGCACAAAATAATGTCAATAATTTTGTTAAACCCGAGTGGCCAGTGTTTACTGACGCTATAGGATGTTGTTGTGACTGGCGAACCGACGAAACACTCTATTATTGTTTGTAGAGGCAGTACCTTTGCACACGGCACAAAATGATGTCAAAAATTTTGTTAAACCCGAGTGGAGGGCCAGGGATTTGACCGCTAGCTGTGCTAGCGAACGAAACACGCTGTTGTTGATGTTGTTGTTTGTAGATACGGTACGTTCGCAGACGGGCCAAAATGATGTCAATTACTTTGTTAAACCCGAGTGGAGGCCTAGGGGGATTACTCACGCTAAAGGATGTTTTTGTTGTTGTTGTTGTTGTTACTGGCAAACGAGCCTATTGACGAAACCCCGTAACTCATCAGAAAGTTTTTTAGTCCGATGGTATAGCGACGAATTAAGAAAAAACATTATATTTTCCAGTAAATCTACATGTATTACAATACAACCCGATACAGCTGTTACAATACATACTCAAACCTGTGTACTGAGTAGTGACCACATAGTACAGTGGCCAGGGGCGTCAATCCCATGGGGGGGGGGGGACGCGTCCCCCCCCCCCCCCCCACGATTTTTCAGGTGGTGAAATGTCCCCCCTAAGATTTGGGGATAAAAAAAAAAAATCTCTCTCTTTCTCTCTTTCTCTCTGTGTTGACAACGAATCGTCTTCTTTCTCTGATAATCAAATGAAACGTCACATGGTTCCGCGCTTCGCACGGGAGGGGAAACTTTATTCAAACAAGGATTTGTAGTCGAGAATGGTACTACGAAACGTCTTCTTTATCTAAAAAATTCATGAAACAGGGATTTAGAGTCGAAAACGGTACAACGAATCGCCTTCGTTCTCTAATAATAGGCCAGTTTCGTAATGTATTCAGAGACTTTTAAATCGCATTACGTAATCGGAGGGTCGGAGAAACAAAGAACTCGCGGTGCGTAGCAGCCTACACTTTGCGTGTATACAATACATGACCGCATGTGTTCGCTAGGTGTGATTGTATCGTTTGTTTTCGCTATTTTGAGAGAGAGAGAGAGAGAGAGAGAAGAAAAAGGAGGCAGTTTCAAACTTGAATAATTGATATTTTTGAGATGTGATTTTGTTCTTCATACATTTGATCTCGTTTAAAATCGCTGAGTCTTAGGCAGGAATAATAGGAAAGCATTGCTGTTACAGAACTAGCGATTCACATCTTGCAAGTTGCAGCCAAACCTGTTCGGCCAAGGCCCCGGTACAGGCAGCGCATGATACCCCCTCAAAGAAAAGAAGAAAAAACAAGGTCGATGATACATGCGACATAAGCTTGAATGCCAGTGATGAAACAGAAAGCGAATTAAGCACCAAAATATTAGTTAGCTAGCCGATATCGGTAATTTCCATTCAATTTTGCATTTACCTTAGCTTGAAACTGAGTACAAATTTGGACGTAGAAATAAAAGAAGTGATGAACTATTTTACTCTCGTTCGCACACACAGTCACTTATATTTGCATAAGAACGTGCGTGCGAGCGTACCACGTGTTCGTGTTCGTGTAGGCGCGATTCACATTTTCACAATGAAATCAAATTTACGGATTAAAAAATGTTTGTGAACGCCTCGATACGAACTATTTCAAGGCGGACGAGAAACGGCTAACCAGAAGCAAGCACAGTGACCGCAGAATCAATATTATTAACAAAAGTAACGAGAAATAATAAGATAATGATAATAAAGGTAACTAATAATGATTACACTATAAGGTCTTTGTATTAATAAAATAATATTTATAAAATAATGTCGTCCGATGACAGCTAGAATAAGAATGATGAATAATGATAAACAAATAATTTTGAACGGAAAAACTGAAGAAAAGTACTGAACAAGGAAAAAGAATGTGTGAACTATGTGAAGCAAAGATTGATGAATAATAGAGCAATGGAAAAATAATAATAAAAGTAATAATAAAAAAACACTTATGATGGCAAGGAAGAAGAATCAGGATGATAAAGAATTTTATTGTTTAAAATAAGATTAGGAATTAAGTTTGATTATCATATTAAAAATAGATGTTAATAGTATTATAATTATGCTGGACCTTCGTTATTCAAGAAGCAATTATTATTATTAAAAAAAACATTTAAAAATAAATTTGTTATAACATTTTCTATTAGACTTTTTGTTTGTTTAATATTTATGTATTTTTTCTTTTTGTTTCAAGTTGGTAATTGACCTGTACCAAAAACACAAGAGAAACTATATATCATGAGCTGCTGAGAGCTAGCTATATAGAAGGGGGGGGGGGGTTTGTATTCGAGCTTTGGCTGATCGAAGTCTGTGTGGAAAGTACAACTTGGCATTTTGTAATAATGAATAATTCATTTGCTGTGAATATTTAATACAGCGATATCATTATGTGGCAAAGAAAGAAAAAGAAACATGAATCAGAAAAATATATTGCCGGTGTTTCAAAACACTTAGATTTTGTCTTGTTAGTACAGATCGATAATCCAAGCAGAGGGGGTGCTGACGGGAGGGGGGGGGGGGCACAGTGCCCCCCTCCCACTTTTTCTGAGAGTGAAAAATGTGCCCCTTATCACTCTTGAAAATGCCCCCTTTCGCTTCCAATAGCGCCCCTTTCTCTATCAATAGTGCCCCTTTTTCTCTATCATAAATAAGTGCCCTCTATCACTTCCGAAAACGCCCAATTTATCTTTCGATAGTGCCCCTTCTCTTCCAATAGTGCCCCTTTCTCTTCCAATAGTGGCTCCTTTCACTTCCAAAAGCAGCCCATTTCTCTTTCAATACTGCCCCTTTTTCTTCAAATAGTACCCCCTTTTCTCTTCCATAAATAAGTGCCCCCTAGCTATCACTTCCAAAAAGCGCAGAATTTATCTTCCAATAGTTCACCTTTCTCTTCCAATAGTGCCCCTTTCTCTTCTAATAGTGCTCTTTCTCTTCTAACAGTGACCGAGCCCCTTTCTCTTCCAATAGTGCCCATTTCTCTTTTAATAGTGCCCCCTTTCTCTTCTAATGTTGCCCAGTTCTCTTCTTATAGTGCCTTCTTTCTCTTCTAATAGTGCCCCCTTTCTCTAATAGTGCCCCTTACTCTTCTAATAGTGCCACCTTTCTCTTCTAATAGTGCCCCTTTCTCTTCCAATTAATAGTGCCCCTTTCTCTTCTAATAATGCCCCTTTCTCTTCCAATTATTATTCATGTAGAGGACACACAAATAGGACAAAAAAAATGGTTCCATTATTGTGATATAATTTTTTTTCTTTTTGTGTTTTATTCTAACTTTAAAAGCAACATACATACAAAAACATCTTGCAATGTTTACCATGTTTATCAAGCCGATTATCCATTAAAAACAATCAATAATAGCTTTTATCACATTGACCATTTGTGTAAGTACATCACATGCACTCCTCGACAGCAACATGTTCACACACGATCAGGTAGCGAGAGCGAGGAAGAAAATTTAACAAACGCCAGCCGAGCGGGCTGCTCTTGGCAGACAGTACGGTGAGTACTGGCTAACCATGCATGGACCATAGGGTCCATGGGATGGGCTAACGAACGTGTACTGTAGAGGCAGTACCTTTGCACACGGCACAAAATGATGTCAAAAAATTTGTTAAACCCGAGTGGAGGGCCAGGGATTTGACCACTAGCTGTGCTAGCGAACGAAACACGCTGTTGTTAATGTTGTTGTTTGTAGATACGGTACGTTCGCAGACTGGCCAAAATGATGTCAATTACTTTGTTAAACCCGAGTGGAGGCCTAGGGGATTAGTCACCGTCACTAAAGGATGTTGTTATATAATGTGTGGCAAAGAAAAACAGGTACCGTAACTTAACTGTCCAAAAGACCCAGTCAGTGTTAATTGGCTTTACTGTGTGGTCGGATTAACAGAATCAACGACAATGGAGGGGGTCTAGGCTTGGTCTCTAAGCTGTTATAATCCCCTCAATTTACCTCTTACCAAGAGTGTGAATTTGATGAGCAACACCCTACTAAACTGTATTCTACTAGGGTAGAGCTCTAATGGGCTGTTCTCGTCATGCTATCGATTAGAAATATGTTTTTTTTTATGAGGAATGTGAAAATGTCATGCATAAATGACGGCCGAATTAGCATTTTTTGTGTATTTACATACATTTTGGGGCAATTTTATGTAATGAAATAGAATCTTTCGGTCACATTTGAGATCACAACTTTTGGTTTAAAAACAATGGAAAACAAAGCAATTAAATACATGATTTCTGGGCGTTTAAAATTGGCATAACTTTCTTATTACTGGGGCTATTACGATGAATGAGGCATCAAATAAAAGGTCTTATCAAGCTCTGTCTAATAGCATAAAGCAAGAGCTTGAATTCTGAGATTTAATTTTTTTGTAACGTCCCTAGACTCTAGACTTAAAACATAGATCTAGAGGAAAGTAAGACATAAGAACAGGTGGTAGCTTTACTATCATTACTTTTACTACTCTTGCCGTCGAAAGTCCATTTGTATTACGTCTATGGTATGCCGCTCACCAGAGACTCTACTCTATCTCCACGCCGGAGTTCCGGGTCGAAGTCTGGATAGACTTCTGAACTAGCGACCTACGGCTACAGTCTATTGGGGAAAAGGAGTCAGAGTAGGTCTAGATCTAGACCGAATTTTCCGTCTCTTTCGTTCGTTAGCCTCTTATTGGGGTAGGGTCGGCCGGCTCTCTCTTTAGAGACGGAAGCCGTTTATACACATGTCCTTGCTAACGCCACGGCCAGTCCTGGTCGTAGCGTTTTGCCCCCAAAATCCCCCAAAATGTCATTTTACCTCGAGCATGTTATATTGTAAATTAGGCCTAGGCTATAATAAATCAGTTCCACTTACCAACTTGACTGAAATAATCAGTTTAATAGTCCCTTTTTAGGAAATTATGGGTCAAAATCGAAATCCATTTTGAAAATCTTTTTCAACATGGATTCCGATTTTGACCCATAATTTCCTAAAAAGGGACTATTAAACTGATTATTTCAGTCAAGTTGGTAAGTGGAACTGATTTATTATAGCCTAGATCTAGGCCTAATTTACAATATAACATGCTCGAGGTAAAATGACATTTTGGGGGATTTTGGGGGCAAAACGCTACGACCAGGACTGGCCGTGGAGTTAGCAAGGACATGTGTATAAACGGCTTCCGTCTCTAAAGAGAGCCGACCCTACCCCAATAAGAAGAGGCTAACGAACGAAAGAGACGGAAAATTCGGTCTAGTCTAGATCTAGATCTAGACCCTATGGTAAAACTGGTCACTCAAAGATTTTTACTTTTTTGAGGCACTTCTTGATCATTTTGGAGCACAATTTGTTTAGGGCTTCAATATTATACCATATCACAGACACTGATAACACGGCCGTGTATCAAGTAAAACTAAAGCTTTCGCCTTTTCGGTCAAACAAGGGCTAGAGTCTACACTTTTTAGCTGTCAGCTTCGACCGGGTGCGGTTGGGTCGCAGAGCTGCAGAGGCACGGCATGCGGCAGGCACAATCTGTTCAAAGCCGAGGTGCGACCATCTAAAATTCTTAACCAAGTTCAATTCATCAAAATTAACACACATCAGGTCCTACTAGATCTAGAAATGAACAATCATAATTTCTTTATTAAATGTTTAATGAACTCAATAGCAAAATAGATAATCATAAACATAAGTTTACGGTACCTTGATTTATCTCGTGTTTTAACTCGCATAGCTCCTGGATCAATTGATTGTGTCACATTAAGTGTGCGAGCGCGCGCCCGCTTGTAGCGCGTATACCGTGCACTGAAATCGATGCGCTCATGATGTGCTCAGGTGATGACATCTCGTTGTCGGGATCGGAGTCAGCTTGTCAGATTTAGCAACTTTGCGAAAAAACGTACGATCTAGGCCTGGGTTTCTCAAACTTTTCGTTTAAAGGTCCAAATGGAATTTACTAATTTCTATGAAAAACAGACCCGAACAAACTAGGTGTTCGGGGGGGGGGAGGAGGCGGGGGTGTCGATTTAAAAAAAAGTGGTGTTCAAACCCCCCTCCCCCCCCCCCCCCCCCCGTTGAGCAAAACACAAAAAAATTGCTAACTAGCCCCCCCCCCCTCCCAACTTATTCGCCGCTAAATAAAGTGCTCATTACCCCCCCCCCCCCCCCCCCCCCCCCCCCCCCCCGCGCGCAAAGTCTCACTCTCACCTCTGGCTCAAAGTTGGCATCGCTAAGAAACCCCCTTGGCTTGTACGGGCTTAGAGGGCACTACTTTTTTTCGGGGAGGGGGGCCTCGAAAATGTGAAAAAATCACCCCCCCCCCCCTTGAGCGCCAGGGGGCCCATCTCCCCAAAAAGGTAAAATTAACGTGTTTTTATACCTTTTTTCCCCTCCCCCCCCCCCCCCCCCCCCCCATGGATCCGCCACTGGTATACTGATACAATGCATGAAGAAAAAAAAATTGGTTTGTATCAGTTTAGAAGCTATTTAAACAAAATGTATATCACAGGCTTTTGGTGGTCATTTTTTTTTTTTTTTTTTTTTTTTGGGGGGGGGGGGCCTTTTTCACTTTTTTTTCTCCTGAATATTAGAATTTTATTTTTGTTATTTGGCCTCAAATAGATATCAGAAAACGTTCCTATCATTGTATAAACCATGTCCACCATTATGGACCTGAAGCGGGTATAGGGGTGAGAAGATCACTTTCAATTGCAGAGGTTGGTACGCTCCAACGGGTAATTATGATAAGCGGTTATAAAAGCTCTATCATAGGTTTTCTCGCTCGATTTTGCAATCTGTTTATTCAGTCTAATACCAATACAAAGTTTTGGTATGGGGTCATGAATTTGGTTCAAATGAACATATTTGAAGCATATGCGACCCTACAATATTCAGTGATCGTTGTCGCGGTGGAAATCTATTCTAAAGTTATGAAATTAGAAATAATAAACTCTTTATGTTGTATAGCTCCCTCTCAAGGTCAATATATTAATTAAGCTATAAAACAATGTTTCTTGACTAAAATCGACCGATTAGCTATTCCCGTTTGGAAATCATTTTTCACAACTTTATGACATTTTCATGGTCGCAGCTACCATTATACGGCCGTATGGCGCTATTTGAAATTTATCAGAACTTACCGGGAGCACCGGTAAATTTTTATATTCAAATTTTCTCAAAATCAGAAGTGTTTTAGGGGCTAAATTTTCTAGAGCTTATATAACATCCACAGGGGCATCCAAATATATCAAAATTGAAAAGAATCACCACCATCCAATCATTTCAAAAATTCCCAAAACTTTGTATTACCTTTAAGAGCATTCAAATTCACGATAGTTCTGACGTTTGTTCATACATTCAAATTCATGCAACAAGTTTTTCAAATGAGTCGAGTATATGTAAATAAGGAGCATACGATTTAATGAATATAGGGTAATTTTGACTTTCCCCTCAACGTTTAATAAGCGATACTCAGCTCAGCCAACTGTCAGCTTCATTTTCGGACAGCCGTCACCTCTTTTTAGTTTTTTTTTTATAAAGTTACGTTTTCAGGCATGGATCAAAAGTCAAAAGTTTGAGATTGGGAACAGTGATGTTCAGGCATGCCATGCCCCCTGTTAATGTACCTGCCGCTTATCATAATTAATATGGTTGTACGGTACACGTAGTACACGACAAGACAATCATAACTTTATCCGCCAACTATACGGAGCCTATACGTGTCTCTAATCATAGACGTAATAGTCTTCCTAAACCGTTTTTACTTAAAGCTAATAATGTAGTCAGTATGCTGTACTTGATCTTGGCTAAGTATAAGAGGGTTTCGTGCAATGTGTAGCGGACACGTAGCATCATATGAAAGCGATGATTATTTTAGTCAAGGATGCTTCTAAAAAATGAAAAGCTCATGCAGCCAATATAGCCCCCCCCCCCCCCCCCCCCCCCCCCCCGTTTTGTATTATATTAAAATACAATGAACGGTATTATTTATTTGAACTTAAAAACAATACTAAATAGGCCTACTTGTCTATCAAATGTTTGATTTGAGAAATACCACCTGTCGCAATCGCTATACATACTACAACCAAGCAACCAACCAACCAACCAACCAACCAACCAACCAACCAACCAACCACCCTCTGATTTGCTGGTCAGCTATAGGGACTTCCCCGAAATACCGAAAACAAACTACGTCATTGTTTCCATACGTTTCCACTCCAGTACACGTACGTACACACGCCTCGTTCGTATACTGTATATGCATGGTGCATTGTGCCATGATCTATGATGCGATTAATTAGATGGGATCGGCGCCCGACGCACCATAACAATCGAACATCAATAACCAGGAAACTGTTCTTTTTAATTAAACCTCCTACAAAAACCTCCTATAAAAAGGGGTTTGGTAATCAGAACATTGGCTTTATAATAAGCATTGACATTGGAAGTGTGATTTTTGGACAACAAGCATTAGCTCCTGCTAACCTGCTAACAGAGCTACAGAATCAGAGTTGACGACATGCTTGATTTTGTGTAGTGCTATTATTCGGTGAGTACATGTACATGTAATGTACACCCGGGCCGCGTGTGTATCTATTTTTGTTTACCGCCACACACATGCGAGGACATTTTCTACTCTGACCCTCCTTTCATGTTATAGTGTCTATCGAATAGCCTTGTATATTGGAAACTGTTTAATAAAAACTCCTCCAACCAGACATAATTTCATGTAATCTAAACGGAATTTCTCGTGGTTGGCAGTACAATTAAAAGTCGGTAAGGGTGAAACCTGAAGGCCTAGAGAGTAGAGTAGGGAGGCCAATGCCCAAATCTAACATTTTAATTACTAATTTGTTTATAATAAAACAAACATTAAAAGAAAGGATTTTCTTTCACTAAGACAACTCACCCATCTGCCGACTCCAGAAGTACCATAAAATGGGAGATATCCAGCTATTTTCTAGGCCCTTCCTTCTCCGCCTGGCCGTACGTAAGACTAAGAGCCTTGAAACAATCAATTTCATGTCCCCGAAAATTACGTCGAGAATTAGACAGGCCCTAGGGAATAGGGCGTGTCATTGCCCATCCCATCCGTTGTACATGATCCGGCTAGCCTTGAATCGGTCACACACACCAACACAGTACTACAGGCCAGATACGGTAATTGCATGCAAGCCGCAATCCTGAAATCCTGAAATAGCCATGGCATGGAGGGTCAAAACATAATAGAGAGAAAGCTCGAAAGCCACTCATTGTAAACTAAGAAAGTGATCGAAATAAATAAATAGGCCTACCTTAGTTTTGAGATGTATTCCAATTACTATTTCCTCACGAGTAAATATCAATCTGACACTGCATTATCACAATCGATAAATCCAACTTGCAGCGAACACAATACGGAATCAAACATAGTCAATAGGACTGCACGGATCCAACATACGCAGACATATGATAGACATGTACTGACGGAGATATTTCTCTCTCTCTCTCTCACTTACCATATCATACACTAAAACACACACGTTCAAATCATGGCATTCATTACACTTCTCAATTGGAGTATAGACTGCTCGACACTGGTGTCTAGTGCTGAGAATAAGGTACTGTGTCTGAGACTACGAGAGATATGTCTGGCGCGTGACGTGGACCAGAGCTCATACATATTCATATTATGATGTCGCAATACCTCTATTTTGGGCTTGAACAATGGCATCACTGTTCACATTTTTTCTTCTCAATTTGAGATGGCTGTAGCTATCGGCCTCAAACCAACGCAAGATTGACAGAAACATCGTACTCTATCTACCTTTGAATGTGCAGTTTGTAAAAATCTGTATTTAAAAAGATATAATCTTTTTCTTGATATTTTCTAGTTGTTAAAAGTGACATTTGTGCACAATTAATATCTATCAAAAGTTCTTTGATATTAAATTGATTCCATATTTTTAGGCTCTACCTTCAGTCATTGAGAAGGATTTTAGTGAGCTAACCTCTACGCCCTCTAGGACCCCTCTAGTTTCTCTTGTGCGCGCGTTATTTTCGTCTGCTAGCCCAATTATTGGATTCAAATACGTCAAAATAAACTCACTTGTAACTCACTTGATCCAGGATTATTCAGTCTTTAGACTGTTGTTCCTATCCATGGTTTTGTTTGGTTGGGGTTGTCATCATATTTATCTGGGGCATCTTTCCACCATTTCTCAAGTCCAGATTTAAAATGATTCATAGTGGTACTCTCCACAACATCGCCTGGAAAACCATTCCACACATTGATTATTCTCTGGCTGAATGAGTTTTTCCTTAATGTCTTCCGGCATTTTAGCTTGTAAAGCTTAAGTGAGTGACCACGGGTGCGACTGCACTTTGTTCTGCTGAAGAAATGTTCTTCTTGAAGATTATCGAACTGGTGCATTATTCTGAACACTTGAATCATGTCAGATCGTTTCCGTCTGAACTGTAGAGTGGGGATTTTCAGTGCTTTAAGTCTCTCTGAGTAGTTTAAGTGTCTCACACTTTTGACAAGTTTCGTAGCCCTCCTCTGCACCTTTTCCAACTTATCCTTGTCCTTATTCAAAAGATGGTTCCATACTGTTGAGCAGTACTCTAACTTAGGTCGTACCAGGGTTTTATACAGGAGAACTAATGACTTTTCATCAAGGTGATGAAAGTTTCTCTTGAGGAGCCCAAGGATGGAATTGGCCTTGGCTGTAATTTTTCCGACATGCAGGCTGAATTTCAAGGATGGGTCAAAGGCGACTCCCAGGTCTTTTTCCTCAGTTACGTTGTTTATCATGGAGTTTGTTTTTGTGTCCATAGTGGATAACCTTGCACTTGGTATCGTTGAAAGGAAGCTGCCATCTTTTTGACCAGTCCATCAGAGCATCAATATCATGTTGCAAATTGTTGACATCTGAAGCACCATTTACTGGTCCATATACTTTGGTGTCATCGGCAAACAACGCCACACTAGAGTTTACTGCAAGAGGAAGATCGTTGATGTAGATGAGGAACAAGATCGGGCCAAGCACAGACCCTTGCGGAATGCCACTTGTTACATTTTTCCATGATGAGTAGGCTCCATCTACTCTAACTCTTTGCGTTCTACATGTCAGTAGGGCTTTGATCCACTTGGAGAATTTCCCTTGAATTCCATATGCTTCAATCTTTGCAATCAGCCTCATGTGAGGGACACTGTCAAAAGCTTTTAAAAAATCTAGGTAAATGCAGTCAAATGGTATTGAAAGGTCCTCAAGTTGTGACCATGTCTCTAATACTTCCAATAACTGTGAAGCACATGATCTTCCACTTCTGAATCCATGTTGTCTGGCAGAAAAAAGCTCATTCTTTTCCATGTGCTCTGCTATCTTATCCCTCACTATCTTTTCCATGACTTTGCAAGTTACAGATGTCAAACTCACTGGTCTGTAGTTACCACTGCCATCCTTACGTCCTGTTTTGTGTAATGGGACAACATTGGCTTTTTTCCATGCTGTTGGTACTTGTCCCTCATTCATTGATTTCTTGAAAATCAGATAGAGTGGGATACATATCACATCTGCAGTCTCTCTCAGTACCTTTGAGTGTATCTCATCTGGACCAGGGGATTGTCAGGCTTCAGTGTCTTGAGGTGTTTCAGGATGGTGTCCTCAGATAATTCTAGCTCTTCCAGGCTCTCTGCCACCTCTAATGGCACTGGCTTCGGGATCTGGTTTGTATCTTCTGTTGTGAATACACTAATGAAGAAGTCATTTAGTGTTTCTGCTTGATCCTCTGGATTATAAGCAAGTGATCCATCTTGTTTAAGTAGAGGAGGAATTCGTGAGTGATTTGCTGTTCCTTTCTTCACATACATGTAACTCCAAAAACTTTTAGGATTTTCCTTGATTTCTCTTGCAATCTGCCTTTCAAAATCTTGTTTTGACCTTTTCACCTCCTCTGTGGCTGCATTTCGAGCCTTTTTGTACATACTCCAGTTGTCGGCAGTACTGTTCTTTTGGTATTTGTTCCAGGCTTTATGCTTATCCTTTAGGTGTTTTCTTGTGGTTAGAGTCATCCATGATGGTTGAGCACTTTGTCCTATTTTGGCTTTAGGAATATGCTTTTCTACACTCTGTTTAACAGTGCATTCGAACAGTTTCCATGACTCCTCAATGTTCTAATTTGTAAGCTCTGCTTCCTAATTGACTTTCTTTATGTCTTCTTTAATGGCACCATAATCTCCTTTGTAGTATTTGTATATAGTTCTGTTCTTCTTAGCCACTTCTCCTAGGTTTACATGGAAGCAAAGTACTCCATGGTCACTCTTTCCTATGGGTGGGTTAACGTTCACGATGTCAATGGTCTCATCATTGTTGGTAAGCACCAGGTCTAGCAGACTTTCCCTCTGTCCTTCTCTAAATCTTGTTGGCTTAATTTGTAACATGCTGGCTCAAATATAGGTCATTAATATTGTCCAGTATATAAGAAGCTGGGTGGTCTTCTGAGCAATTTGCGACGTTTCTAGCCCAATCAATGTCTCTAAGATTCAGATCTCCAATTATCATCAGATCACTATTTCTATCGCTTGCCTCTGTCATCAAGGAGCATAAATTTCTAGAGTTCGTGTCAGAAGAACTTGGGCTCCTGTAGACATTTCCGATTAAGAGTTTTCTGCCATCATCAACTTGGATCTCACACCATACAGACTCTTCAAATTTGGTCATCAAGTATATTTATCTTGACGAGGACATTTTGGTTGACACGTATGTTGCAACTCCTCTCCTTGCAGCTGGGGAAATGAACATATCATATCCATTGAGCTTTAGTTCAATTTCAGCATTTACATGATCTTTGGAATGTTTGGGGAGAATCTCTTGAACACAGATGACACCAGGTTTCTCCAATCTTACTCTGGCCTCAAACTCTTCCATTTTGTTGGTAAGTGTGTCCACATTAGTGCATAAGACTTTAATCTTTCCAGCTTTTATTGGTCGTTCTATCATTCCCCGTTATATCAGAATTATCATTCCCTGTTATATCAGAATTATCATTTGCATCATTCCCAACATCAAAAGAGTTGCTCTCTGTTTCAGTACTAACATCACTACACTTTCCTTCTGAATTTTCCACAACTTCAGTAGAGTTACTTTTTGCAACATGTGTAAATACTGTACAATTGCTGGTGGCATGTGCAGGTGTCTCTGTGCTTGTTGGTGCAATAAAAGGTGCTACATGAAGTGCTTGTATGGGTGCAGAGTAAAAATGTCTCATTCCTTTTCCATGTACTTCTATGGGTTTGCAGTACGTACCTTGGGCCTGAGTGTGGGAAATCTCCTGGCCCTGCACTGTCCCTCTCTCTGTCTTGCCTTGTTTCTGAATGTACATTCCAATGTTTACAACTTTCCCTCCTCTCCTGATCCATTTTGCTTCTGTATCTCCAGCACTGACAGACTGTTCCTTTTTTGCCTGCAATTCCTTCCTAAGTCTGATGTCTTCCGTTCTTTCTCTAGGAGTCATATCATTCCTGATTGTAATGTGTTTGGTTTCATCATTCTCTCTAAGCTTCTTTGCTGACTTCAGAATATTGTCTCTTTGATGTTGATCGTTTACTGATACTCTCATGGGGCGTGGATTTTGTTGTTCATTCTTCAGTTTTCTCTGGCCCAAACGTCTACAATCAGTGATTTCGATGGTTGTGCTTGTAATCTCTCCAAAGATTTTACTGACGTTGGCAATATCAGTTTCCTTCCTTTTTATGGGATCTGGGTCTTCACTTTCTCCAATACTGAAGATGATTAAGTTCTGCCTGTTTCTATCTTCCATTTCATTGATATACATAGCTGCTACCTCTTCAGTTCCTTCAGCTCTATTGGATTTCAGTTCCTCAACTTCTGAAGAGAGCTTCTCTAATTCCTTTGTCAGTTCACTTGTATTGCTTCTGAAATGAAATATTCTATGTTATTTCTTATCCCTTCGACTTCTACTTTTTCCGCTTTTTTGGACATGGCCATTTCCAGCTGTTGCATTCTACCAGACAGTTTTTCAAAAAAGGCTTCGCACCTCTCCTCAATGTCAAAGTCATCTCTGACTGCGTGGAGTGCTGGTGCTTTGCAGCTCGGGTAGTACCAGTGGAAAGCAGAGTCTGATAGAAGATTACACTGATCTGCACTCATTCTAAGACATTTGATACAGTATGGTTCCTCACATCTCCCGCATACAACAAACTTGTCATCTCGGTCACCAAATTCCTCATCGCACATCTTACATACCCAGTATCCCTCTCCTTCATTGTTCCTATCAACATCCACTGCTTGTGATAGGCTGGGCGCTACAGTAGTCTTGTTTTTAGCACCTCTCGTCTGTATTGTCCTTGCCATGGGATGGCTATCATTTTTGTCTATACTCCTACATGTATGTGGATGTAGACTCTCAATGGCTTGTTGTCTATTCTTTTTGCCTTTTGGACGACAGCTACATGTAGCTCCTTTTCCTTCGAAAAGATTCTTTCCGTTGCTATTCATGATTCAGCAGGAAAATTATTATATCCAAAATAATGGTTCAGCCAGCTGTCTATGCAATTATAATCCTTGTGCATCAAGCCAATTGTAAATGCCTTCAAAATTCAAAATCAAATCGAATAAAGTTTGAGAGTAAGACTGAGACTACACTGTGTCTGATTTCATACTCACAATCACGGCCAAGAAGTACAGAATTCACAACAAATTTTCCAACCAAAAAGGGTGAGGAAAAAATCAGAATGCAAGATCGTCAACAAATGGTGAAAGACCGTTACAGATCCGTTTTTATAGGTATGTTGTGGAGTGTACAATTGTATTTTTATGCCTCCGCCACCGAAGGTGGTGCCAGAGGCATCATGTTTTCGGGTTGTCCGTCCGTACGTCCGTCCCGTTTGACCGTTATCACAATATCTCAAGAACCATTTAAGATTTAAACTTAAGACTCGGGAATAGTATTTATCACCATAGGAAGACGATCTGATTAGATTTTGGAGTACGTAGGTCAAAGGTCACAGGTCACAGAGGTCAACTTATGAAATTCCTTGTATTGAGTTTGTTAGCGCGATATCTCAAGAACCATTTGAGATTTAAACTTCAAACTTAAGGATAGTATGTATCACCATAGGAAGACGATCTGATTAGATTTTGGAGCACGTATGTCAAAGGTCAAGGGTCACAGAGGTCAACTTATGAAATTCCATACATTGAGATTGTTATCATGATATCTCAAGAACCACTGGAGATTTAAACTTCAAACTTAGTGATAGTGTGTATCACTATAGGAAGACGATCTGATTAGATTTTAGAGCACGTAGGTCAAAGGTCAAGGGTCACAGAGGTCAACTTATGAAATTCCATACATTGAGATTGTTATCATAGTATCTCAAGAACCACTGGAGATTTAAACTTCAAACTTAATGATAGTGTGTATCACCATAGGAAGACAATCTGATTAGATTTTGGAGCACGTAGGTCAAAGGTCAAGGGTCACAGAGGTCAACTTATGAAATTCCATACATTGAGATTGTTATCGCGATATCTCAAGAACCACTGGAGAATTTTCACTTCAAACTTAATGATAGTATGTATCACCATATCATAATATCTCAAGAACCACTGGAGATTTAAACTTCAAACTTAATGATAGTGTGTATCACCATAGGAAGACAATCTGATTAGATTTTGGAGCACGTAGGTCAAAGGTCAAGGGTCACAGAGGTCAACTTATGAAATTCCATACATTGAGATTGTTATCATGATACTGTATCTCAAGAACCACTGGAGATTTAAACTCCAAACTTGTTTAAATTGCTCTATGGCGGAGGCATCATTTTCAACTGCGCGCAGTCAAAATTCCATCTAGTTGTTATATATATTATTCCATAGCGGGGTCTAGATATTTTTTTTCTTTATTTTTTTCTTCTGGTAATTTTCTGACTTGGACGACGAGCGCACAAATCATAGGCGTAGAAGCCTTACGCCTGGGCATTGGCCTCCCTACCTAGAGGTCTATATCATTATTATTTACATGTATATGCCCTAAGGGCAGACCTTACTTCCTAGGCCTATGGCCAATTCGAGTTCAGCCTTCAGGACGTGGCAAAATCTGTTTGAACACCTTGTGCTCTGAAATGTTTGGGAGATTAGAATAGAAAATTTTGTATGTGAAATTATGAATGGAGTGACTGAGGTGTCAGTTGTTCAGCTAGAGCACATTTGATAAGCAAATTTTGAGCTTTAATACATGTGTGTACTACTCGGTATATTAGCAATGGCCAATGGCATGCAATGTTGATATGAGAAATCCTTTTTGTTTCTTTGATACAGATCTGGATCATCATCGTCATTAATAACCTTGATTTCAACTAAAGATGGCAGCTAGTGGGGAATCTGCAAGGGAACCAGAAGAAGGAACGTGGGAGGAGCCCCCTTCAAGTCCTAAGTCACTCACCAGCCAGGAGCCGTCTTTGCCACTCCCACTCAAAATGCCAGGATTCCCAAACTCCAATGCACCTTATACTAGAGGAACCTCAGATGAGGGGTTTCCATTGAGTCCTGAGACTCTTGAAAGTCCCACCACCCCAAGAACAGATCTTCTTGCAGATATTCAGAAACTAGAGGAGAGGCTGAAAAAAATGTTTGAGCTGCTTGCGAGCTTGGCTCAACTAAGAGAAGGTACAAAGACGGAGCAGCAGTATTTGAGTGGAAGGTTTGAGGAACTGAAATGGGTTCACATTGATTCAAAGCAGAAGTATCTGGAGCTGAAGCACATGGTGGATCGAATGGAGGATAGACTGAAGATGGAGGATGAGAAGCAGAATGGAATTAAAGACAAAGTAGCAGAAGAAGTTGAAGTGAGGGTTAAGGAGGAGATGGATAAAAGGAAGAGTGAGTACCTGGCTGAAATAGAAGAAAAGATGAAGGCAATGATGATCAAGGAACAGTCAAAAAGAGAAGAAAGAGAGATGGAACTGCGTGTACGTCAGCAGCGTTCAACTGAAGAGATGACAGAGAGAAGAGTCGCTGAGGTGAGAGAAGCGATGCTTGAAGCTCACAAGCAACGTGATGAGGTCAAGAGAAGATTTCAAGTGACGGTGGTGAAACTGCAAAAAGAGCAGAAGAAGAATGCCAAACTCTTACAGAAGATCCAGGAGCTGGAGATGCGCTGCCAGCATCTGGAGGAGGAAAATACTCGTCTACGACTGACCGACATTGTCAACCAGACAAATTTCACCTACGAGGGTCAAATGCTGGAGTGCTTCTCCTGCAGGAAAGAGTATTCCACCCATGATAATCATGCTGAGGGCTGCAAGTTTCACCCAATTCCTTGCATGCCATATGAAACGTGGCGTAACTGCATCCCCACGGAGGAGCTGCCGTCTGATTTTACGGTCAGCCGATCAAGCCGTTTCCACTTCTGGGCTTGCTGCAATGTCCTGGCAAGTCGGAGGCCTGAGGGATGCTGCCATGGGCGCCACCATCAGCAATGGGAGATGGACATCATGATGAGACAGGTCCTGGTCGAGGGATCAGAGCATTCTGCTTTTACAGAGCCTCTCAAAGTTCAGTAAAAATACTTTAAATCTCCAAATCTGAATGTATTCATATTTTATTACACCACTGTACAGTGTAGTACTTAAAATGAATGAAAGGTGACATTTGATTCATATTTAAAGTCACATCTTAAGAACTTTGAAGTATCTTTTTCAATTAGATTATCATCCAATGTTTGTTATCTACATGTACATGTATTCACAACACTTACTTTCTTGAGGTACTAGTAAATATTTAATGATACATGTACTCATCAAGTATTAATTGAAAGGCTACATGACGATTTATCATCAAAATAGTAGAATTACATTTATTGTTTTGACGATTATTTGTACTGAACAGGGAGTTCAATGAATGAGTGAACCGGTTTGAGACAGCTTGATGTATTCCGGATTAGAGAATAAGGCATTAATCTGTAAAAAGATGGTTTATTTGAACAAACTCATTGCAGTCTGCCTTGAACTATACTCGTTTACAAATTGAAAGCAGTACCATGGGTAAATCAAGTTGCCCTTTGTTTTTAAAAGTGTGGATAAAACTATTTCTTTTTTTAATTTGTCATAACTTTAGTTTTCTGTGTTTATACATTTCACTATGCAAGTGCAGTTACGTGCATTATTCTTTTACTCTACATCTTGCCCACAGTGAAAAGAATACAGATGAGCAATAAGTGATTCTAAAAGCACTGGAAACTGAATAAGTGTTTAGGTTTTATAAAAAGAAAAAAAAAGAAAAAAAGTACAAAACTTAAAATGAACTCAAAATGTAATAAGAGCAAATTCCTGAATATCTCTTGTAAACGAACCCATTCTTTTTCGCTTGCTTGAATTCCAATTGTTTTGGAAAAATTATCTAAGTCCGGTATATGGTTCTTGTAAGCCCCATAAAACTTGAAATTGGATGAAGGTTAGATTAGGAGTGTATATACATGTAATTATACATGAAAATTCTTTTTATGAGTGTTGTAATGTTGAACAAGAAAATTTGTATTGCTCATATTCACACTATTGTTATACAGAACTGTATTCATACATATTGTAGTTATCCATTAAAGACATACAGTGTATGTTAAGAAATACATTTACACATACAGAGTACATGTACAATGTAGATGTACTTATATTTTCCTGATTTGAGATCAAACACTTTATAATATTGCATGTTGTGATAAAAATTACTCTGTTGATTATAAATCTATCTTGAAATAAGAAAGAAAGGGATTTTTTTGGTGTAAATTCAGAATATGTAGAATCAATAGCCTTGTAGACAGAAACCAATGCCTGTAGATATATACAGTACTGTCTTTTCTCTTTTATATATATTTGAAATATACAATGCAAATTGTGTGATTTTGCAATCTAGAAATTTGGATTACTGAGATGTGGTAGAATGGTTGTTGCAGTGTCTAGATGCATTTTTATCTCTTTTGTATACTTAAACCAAGTGCTGTCTTTCATTTCCAGTACTCCTAGAATTATCAGATTTTATTTTTCATTGGCAGATTTTTTAGGTGATATTTTGATTCACATGTTTAATACCATTCCTCCTTTTGTATGCCTGTAGATGTAGTAGGATTATAGGATACATGGTACAACAATGTTTACTTTACTTACTTACTTACTTTACTTTAATCCATCGATGTTGGTAGGACAGAGCCTGTTCATCAATCGATTGAATTCCTTTGCATCAATACTTCTGTTTGTTGTGGTTTCATGTCGAGGTGTGTGTGTGGAGGGTGGAATAGTTCTGCATTCTTCTATTAACTTTCAAAGTCATATACTGAAGGTGATTTCTTCCAATAGTTATCGAGTTTGTTTTTGAAGGCATTTACAGATGGGGCATTAACCACTTCTTCAGATAGGCTATTCCATGTGTCCACTACTCTATTCGAGAAAAAGAATTTCCTGATGTCGAGATGTGCAAATGTCTTCTCTAATAATAATAATAATAATAATAATAATAGCCTAATAGTCCACTCCAAATTTTATTAAACCGAAACGGAAATTCTTTTTGCCCAATTGATCGTGAGCCCGGCAGCCACTGAGCAGCACCAGGTCGATGCTGCTCGATCTATCCCTTATTGTTGAACGCCAAACAAGGTAGCAACAACTCCCATCTTTTAACGTCTTTTGGTATGACGCGGCCGGGGTTCGAACCCACGACCTCCCGGTTGTTTGGCGGACGCTCTACTGACTGAGCCAACACTCCGGTGTACTCTAGTTTCAGAGAATGGCCTCGTGTTCTGTTTTCCTTGCATAAATGTTTAATATAGCATGTGTACATGGAGATTAGCATGAAGACTGTATTATAGTATATGTAGCCGTGTCATCTGATATTCCGTGAAATAATTAATGGACCATTTGATGTTGTAGTTTTGAAGTCTTGCTTAGAAGATTTGGTAGAACTATATATTCCAAAAGTGATAATTATTAACCCAGATGTACACAACATACATTGTGTAGTAAAGTACCATGTCTTTCACTGTGTGACATGTTTAAACAAATCTTTGTACAAACCTGCAGTTAGACTTAGACTCACAGGCTGAGAATGTCTTGAATAAATAAATAAAGATTAGGGTACATAAATAAGTACTTGCTCTGTAGATGAATGAATGAATGGATAAACAAGTTTGTTTGCCTGCCAAGTAAGTAGGCTGGTATTGAATGATACATTGTAAGAAACCGTAAAATAGCAACTATGTTGTCTACTTTTAAAAATGTTCATTCTCAATTTTTCAAAAAAACTAACAAGGCCCTAGATTTCTAATGCAGCTTTCTTTTCTGCGCAGATAATGCAATTATTGTGATAAATTACTGGTGTTTCATTTTAGTGTTTTTATTTGAATAACTTGCTATATACAGTACATGTAGGTAGTAGGCCAGTATTTATACAGAATAATGTAATCAGTACACTTGTTATAAATTCATTGCCAGTACCATACTTTTGTCAGAGATGCCAACTGTTCCATTTTTGCCGTATTTGTTCTGTTTTTTTGCTATGAATACGGCAGTACGTTTTTTGTATGTTTTGTTACATTTTTTTATTTTTTTTTATTTTTCTGCGCACATTGTGAACAACCCACGTGTGCTGTATGCACGTCGTGCTCCGATCCGGGTACGTATACGTGGTACTGCCGGTTTTTTAAGCTGCTAGATTGGGGCGATATGTTAAGGTGAGGGATTTTTTCAAAAATACTGTTTTTTGTTGATGAAGGTTGGCATCTCTGGATTGTGTAGAAGAAAATTGGGTAGGGTCAGTAAATGTACTGTGTATGTCAGTTAATATTTATCTTCAAATACTTGCCATGTGATGCCAAACAAAGTTAAAATTTAATGTAATCCCTACTTATTTGTCTTCTTTCATATTTTCTTTTTTTAGTTGCTGCAAATACGGTTGTGGTACTTATCACTGCGCACTTATTGTATCCCCCGGCAGTATGCCGGTGGGGTACTTTGGATTCAGCAGCGTTACGCCGCCGCCGCCGCCGCCGCGTCATATTCTTGTGTGCGCTCTCACTGCCACATTTCTTGATGGATTTCTTTCAAATTTTGTATGGAGGTGTATCCTGGTATAATCTACATACCTATAACTTTTGGTGATGCTGCCCCCAGTGTTCCGTCTTCTATAGGGTACAAGGCCATATTTCTGTGGATGGTTTGTGTGCGCTCTATAGGCCACATTTTTAAAGGGATTTTGTTCAAATTTTGAACGAAGGTGTATCTTGGTATAATCTACAAGTCTATAGATTTTAGTGACGCTGCCTCCAATGTTCTGTCTTTTATAGGGTCAAAGGTCATATTTTGATAGATGTCTTGTGTGCACTCTAGTGTGCGCTCTAACTGCCACATTTCTTGACTGATTTCTTTCAAATCTTGTATGGAGGTGTATCCTGGTATAATCTACATACCTATAACTTTTGGTGATGCTGCCCCCAGTGTTCCGTCTTCTAGGGTACAAGGCCATATTTTTGTGGATGGTTTGTGTGCACTCTATAGGCCACATTTTTAAAGGGATTTTGTTCAAATTTTGAACGAAGGTGTATCTTGGTATAATCTACAAGCCTATAGATTTTAGTGATGCTGCCTCCAATGTTCCATCTTTTATAGGGTCAAAGGTCATATTTTGATAGATGTCTTGTGTGCACTCTAGTGTGCGCTCTAACTGCCACATTTCTTGACGGATATCTTTCAAATTTTGTATGGAGGTGTATCCTGGTATAATCTACATACCTATAACTTTTGGTGATGCTGCCCCCAGTGTTCCGCCTTCTATAGGGTACAAGGCCATATTTTTGTTTGTGTGCGCTCTATAGGCCACATTTCTAAAGGGATTTTGTTCAAATTTTGAACAAAGGTGTTTCTCGGTATAATCTACAAGCCTATAGATTTTAGTGATGCTGCTTATATTAAGGTTCATTATAGTTTACTCTAGACCTCCACAAATTTGGTGCTGCTACCCCCCAGTATTCCATCTCTTATAGGGTCAAAGGTCATATTTAAAGGAATATCTTGTGTCGCTATGCAAATCACATTTCTTTCAAATTTTCTATAAATATGCATCATAATCTGATCTACACACCTATTGTTTTGGTGATGCTGCTCCTAGTCTTGACAATAGTCTGAGCCACTTGCGGCAATCTCTACATCATCCTTTTGTTTCACAAAGAGGAGAGGGAATCTTTGTCCCTCCTTCCACATAAGGATAACACAAAATCGCTGCCACTGCCGGGGGATACATTCGCATTGCGCGGCAATACAGATTGCGATATTTCTAGTTTCTTTAGAAATACTACGTGCCACGGATGAATCCTTGGTTAACTAATCACATTTCTATTTGCTAGCTAGTGCATTATCTTTCATGCAGGCATAACAGATTTTGTTTCGCACTAGCAATTTGTTTACTGGAAAATACTGTAAACTGTAATATATTTGTCATTATTTCTTACAAATTATGCATGAACACGTTCTGAACACAATTATTGCACTTTGTGCCTGCCCTTCCCAGTGTATGATATCACATAAGGGATTAATCTCAAAAGTATTATTATTCATTAAATGAACAAAGCCTATGGCGATCCATATTTCAGTCAATTACTGGTTAGTGCTCTGTACTGAGAAGTTGGCTTATCGGTCATCCTCTATTTTTTTAACAGAATTAATCATTTTACAATTGCTGTGAATTTTGGGAAGATAATAAACCTTCTTTTACACCCAAAGAAAAGTTGTATGCAAGCTTATTTGTAAGCCTAACCAAAAAGTTTTTTGTTGTCAAAATTATGTTGTGAATTATTGCAATCTACTTTTTATGCATCCGCTCAGGCGCGTACGCAGGGGGGGGGTTTGGGGGGTTAAACCCCCCCCTTTGGAAATTTTTTGTGTGTAAACCCCCCTAAAAAAAACCTAAAACCCCCCCCCCCCCCCCCCCTTTTGGATTTTTTTTTTTTTTTTTTTTTTTTTTTTTAATTATTAAAAAAAAAAAAAAAAAAAAAAAAAATTATTCCCATGGCCGACCTAAAAAAAGGTGACCTTACCCCCCCCCCCAACGGAGCAAAATGTCAAATTTCCAAATTTCGAGACCAAAAAAAAAAAAAAAAGTGTCCTCTTACCCCCCCCCCCCCCCCCCCCCCCCCCCCCCCCCCCCCCCCCCCCCCCCCCCCCGCTTATTCAGCGGTCGGCTGAGTCGTTGCGATTTTTTTGGGACCAAAAAAAAAAAAAAATGTGTCCTCTTACCCCCCCCCCCCCCCCCCGCTTATTCAGCGGCTGGCTGAGTCGTTGCGAAATTTTCGGACCGATTTATAAATGTTAAAACCCCCCCCTTGAAAAAATCCTGCGTACGCGCCTGCATCCGCTACAAAGTAGCCGGAGGCATTAGGTTTTCTGGTTGTCCGTCCGTCCGTCCGTACGTCCATGCGTCCCGTTCTCGTGATCGCGTTATCTCAAGAACCGATTGATGGATTACCACCAAACTTGAACCATGCATGTATCTTACAGAGCCAATGAATTGACTAGATTTTGGGGTCACAAGGTCAAAGTTCAAAGGTCACAGGGCTCATTATGTATGCAAAATAGCTCGTTATCGCGTTATCTCTAGAACCGATCAGATGGATTCCTGCCAAACTTGGGTCATGTATGTATCTTGCAGAGCCAATGAACTGATTAGATTTTGGGGTCATGAGGTCAAAGTTCAAAGGTCACAGGGCTCATTATGTATGCACAAATAGCTTGTGATTACATTATTATGAGAACCAAAAGACAGATTACTATCAAACTCAAGACATGTACATATATGTATCTTGCAGAGCCAACGAACTGATTAGATTTTAGGGTCATCAGGTCAAAGGTCATGGGGATCAATAAGGATGCCTATAAATAGCTTGTGAATGCATTAATAAAGACGACAGATGGATTACAATCAAACTTGAATTTTAAAAGTTGCTTCCGTTTTGGTTTGTAATATTGCTCTATGGCGGAGGCATTATTTTCGACTGCGCGCAGTCGAGTTCCATCTAGTTTCATTTAGATTTATTTTTCTTTTTTATTATTTCAAGTTATATAATGAAGGTAATTGCACATGGAGGATAAGGGGTATGGTGTTTGAAATAATAAGGGTGGTTATAATGATATGTGACGTCACTGATGACTATAAGGACATTGATAACAGTGGTGTTGAAGATGAGGATGATTATCATCATCCTCGTCATGACCTTGCTTGAATGAGGATGTTTTTGTTTAAAGAGAAGGTTGAGTTCTCGGAAGAGGTGAAAAATAATTTGTGAGCATTATCATATTACGTGCAAGTGTGGAAGAATATCAGATACAAAGTGTTCCCTGAAAAGCATGGCTCTTCAAATGTCTTAATATTCTAAATGTGGCATGCAACATCATACAGATCAGGACGGATTTTGATGCCACATCTTTCTGTGTACAGTGCTTGTAACTTTACCAAGACTGGGCCAAATTCCTTATCTTTTTGATGATTCCAGAACCTTGCAGTATACACCAATACTTATCAACCTTTTCTGATCAATTACACAACGTTTCTTTCACAATGCAATCGCATTACCAGAACTCAACTTTATCTTTAAGATGATGCATATGGTGTTAAATAATGATGAAGTTGGTCATGGTTGTAGTGATTGTTTATTGTGGTGGTGGTGGTGGTGGTGGTGGTGGTGGTGGTGGTGGTGGTGGTGGTGGTGGTGGTGGTGATGGGGTGACTCGACATTGATGTTGCTCCTGTGACAATTGCCCCTGGCTTTATTCTGTCAAAGGTATAGGGTAGGTGTATTCGGATTGCAATAAGGTTGAGGGTTTGGTTGAGGGTTAGGTCCTGGGATGAAGTTAAGAATATAAGAAACTGACGTGAAGCAATTGTCGCAGGAGCAAGTGTCGTACAACTGCTGCTGATGGTAATGATTACATGTATTTTGATGATGAAACTTAAAACCAAGACATAAAAAGTATAACGACGTTGAAGTTCAAGAGAGTGAGAACAAGGATAATAATGTGACATTGCTAATCATAGAAAACCAGTTAAAATGAAGAAAAAACAAAGATGATAGCACATGTACTTGGCACAGGTTATGTTTATACTTTCATATTCACTTCGTGCATTAGCCCTATACAAAGTGATTGCAAACATTGACAACATGCACCCCCCCCCCCCCTAAAATTTTTCTTTTTTTTTTAAATTCCAAGATCGGTTGAACTTTTTTTAGACCCCTCCCCAGGACGTCGATCAATTACATGTATATGCCCTCCCCCCTCCCCAAACATCAAACTCTGGCTGGGGCCCTGCCTACGCCACAAAAGGGGTTCTTCTCTGCGCTGCTGTGGCCATCACAAGTTTATGACACCCTTCTCTGTCTGCTGTTGCTCTCATTGCCTCTGACAGCTTTTTCCCTGTCCATATGTGGATATCTTTGAACAGAAGGGGTTACACGCTCTTATCCAATCAAAGGTAGAAAATAAAGAATTGCATGCACATAATGCCGATTAAATAACCATGTTTGTATTTAATACAGTATACAATACAAATATAACAAACATCATTCCATTGTGCATCCATGTTTCATAAATAAGAAGAAAATAATATGTACCAGTAAATAGAATTACAGTGTAGGAAATACACACATAAGTACTGAAAAGAAATAGAAGGAAAAAAACTGATTAACTTCCAAAAAATTATTAACCACAAATTAAGGTTATCTTCACATTAGTGATACACACTAAAACATACTAAATAACAACTACGTATTGATGGAGTGCCTTTAGCACGTTGCTCAGTGGATAGGAGCGCTATTAAAATTCCCAATCCTAAATATTAATACATCACACGTTTCATGTACTTTACATTAACTTGTATCATAATTCACTAAAAAGAATGATTGGGTTTAGTTTGTATAAAGTTTTAGAAGTCCCCTTTTGAAAAATTATCCCAGATATAAAAGATGTATTTATAACAAAGGCTCCATACAGAAATTATTTACTCATAAGTACAAGGAGAATGAGAATTACTAAACAAGAATTAACATACTGTGATAAATAAATATGTCATGAAAAAATTCAATAATTTGGATCATCTTCTGTTTTAAACTTGATACTTGCAATACAAATATTGTAATAGTTGACAAGATCTATTTGTCCAATTAATAATTTCAACTAATTACAATTTTCATTGAGGTATTGGCATCAAATTTAACAATCAATATACCATTTATTTTTACTACTACATGGCCATGTGTTTAATCAAATGAAGACACTGCCATTGGCTTTCACAAGGCTTGTTTAAAATGCAACATATCAGAAGTGTGCATACATGTAGTAGGCAGTACTAGACACTGATTACACTAAATAACTTTATGTAGTTCATCATAATTTGGAGGGTATCTTTTCAGTTTGGTCATGTGAATATTCAGGCTCAGAGTATTGCTCCATGAATGAAATTTTGGCTACAGATGGTTGGTTATTGACAATAAACCTTGCCAGTAGAGGCCAGGTACTGCTAGCTTGTATTCAGACATTGGCAGAAAAGAGGAAAAATGAGGAAGAAAACAAAAACATTGAGTGATATAATGCAAGTAATTCAGTCTTTTGATCGATAATGGGCATCCTTGGGCTAAATGCGCCTTGCCTGGATTGAATCGAGTGTTGGCCAAAGCACACCATGCATAGAATATACGGTAGGTCATAACCTTGATTTGGGGAACTTTAAGAATTCTTCACAAGAGGGAAAATAAGAGGAACACATTACAATGAAAAGACAGGGGCGATAGTGAGCACTAAAAAAAAAAAAGGTTTTTGGTTTTCCCCTCAACCACGCCCCCCTTGAGTAAAAAAAGAGAAGAGGATTCGCAGGGAAAAAATGGCATCTAACAACATTCCCCCCTTCCGAGTAAGAAAATTGGGGGAAAAATAGGGCAAAATAGGGAAGATTAGAGAAAATAACTGGGAAATCGGTAAAATCAGGATAAAAGAGGGAAGAAAAAAAAAAATCGGGAAACCGATTTAAATCGGGTTTTCATCAGGCCTAAAAAAACAAAAGCAAAAACCAAAATTTGAATAAGGGAATTGAGTGTTAGCCAAAGCACAACATGATCAGAATATATGGTAGGTCATAACCTCGATTTGGGGAACTTTAAAAATTCTTCACAAGAGGGAAAATAAGAGGAACACATTACAATGAAAACAACAACAGCAAAAACCAAAATTTGAATAAGGGAATTGAGTGTTGGCCAAAGCACAACATGATCAGAATATATGGTAGGTCATAACCTCGATTTGGGGAACTTTAAGAATTCTTCACAAGAGGGTAAATAAGAGGAACACATTACAATGAAAACAACAACAGCAAAAACCAAAATTTGAATAAGGGACACCCTTGGGCTAAGAGCATATTTGCCAAAGCACATCATGCTCAAAATATAGGGCATAGCTAAGATTTGGGGAATTTCAGGAATTCTTCGCAAGAGAACAAAATTACCCCGGTACATATTAATTGAAACCACAAAGAAGAAAAAAAAAATTGAATGATAATGGGCACCCTTGGGCTAAGAGCATATTGGGCAAAACATGTCATGCTCAAAATAAAGTTTATACTCAAAGTCTACATTTGGGGGACTTTCAGAAATCTGATACCAATCAACTCTAAAGGCTCTTGTGAAGTAAACTTCCTTACATTTTTATGACATTTCTTCTTTTAGAAGGTAACTAAACATCCGAATACAAATTCATAAATTTTTATTGATATATTACTACTATCAAACACAATGAAAAAAATGTGCAAGAGAACTACATACTGTAGAGTCACATGAGAGATATACATATCATTAAATATAAATTTAAAAGAAATGAAAATGCTAAATTTTCTTCAGGAAGCAGGAAATTAAAATTTATTTTAGCACAATACTTTACACATTACCTCCTTCTTTTAATTCAGTATCATATTTCATTCGAATCGGGAGACATATTGGATATTTTCTCTCTACTTCATCATAGGTACTATAAATATCTCTTGTGCTATGAGATCCTGTAAAGATTCAATATTCAATATTCAAGTTCCTATTGTCCGTATATCATAATACAGAAATTTGTTTCCCATTGGTGTTACATACAATAATTATAAACAAAAAGGCATAAACATGATAGCTGAGAGCCAGAAGGGTGTTTAGTTAATGCTGAACAAAAATGAGTCGACACCCTTTCAGCCCCTAGCTCTTGCCACGCCTAGATTTCATAGCATTGAGCACATTTTCTGTTGCACTTTCTCTTTTATACATTGTATATACATATTTGGTATAAATGCCATAGAAGTATTTACAGTTTTCCTTGCTATCCTCATACCTCACTTTGATCACACAGAGAAGACTTCCTCATCCTGCATGCTCCTTTGAAAGATGTTCATGCCTTGGTATATAGTCGTTTGTGAATTAGGCAACTTGGCGAACACTGAGCAAACAGGTATTACGCACCCGTGCGGACGTACGCACAAAGGGACACTAGTACGCAAGGAGCGTAATACCCATTGGCTCAGTTTGCTGCCCTCTATATACCCACGCATGAGCAACTTGAAAATATCTAGTATCTCTCTGTAGAAACTATTTTCCATGAACGTTCATTCAGAGTCTACTCATCTCCCCTAAATGCCACTCTTTTTTTTCTTCTGAGGGCATACAGCATCATTCTTCTCTATGTATCTTCTCCATCATATAGATATTTGGCCAAGCGCGACCTTGCTTTGGTTGAATAAAGCAGCTCTCATACCCCTGTATGCTCTTCTGTACTTATCTGTCTGCTATTTCCCTGAATAACAGTCCTCTTTGCACTCAACTCAGCTCAAATCCAGCTCCCGATTCAATGGCATAGAGCAGTTTGTCTCTCAGAGTCTCCTCATCGCTGAACTCTGGTAGTTTGAGGAGGTTCAAACACATCTGTCTGCTATTTGCCATGAACGTAAGGTCTGTTACGCTCTCACCTCAGCTTGAGGTCAGCTCCTGATTCAATGGCATAGCACAATTTCTCTCTCAGGATCTGCTCATCAACGAACTCCAGTCGCTTATAGAGGTATAAATACACATGTCTGGTATTTGTCACAAATATACATCCTTTTTGCACTCAGCTCAGCTCAAAGCCAGCTCCTGATTCAATGGCATAGAGTAGTTTTTCTCTCAGGGTTTCCTCATCGCTGAACTCTGGTAACTTGAGGAGGTTCATACAGGTGCTGGCTGTGGGTAGCCTGTCAAGCTCACTACCACCATGGTGAATGCAGAACGCTGGGTAGAGTTCCTACAGGAGGATGGAAACCAAAATAAAGAGAGAGAATAACTGGAATAATGTACGTGTACATCTTTCTCCAATTACAAACACAATAAACAGCTACTTTTAGGCTCTTAAGAAAAAAACTGCATTTACAAAGGAACATCGATCTAGTTGACTATTTTGAGGTACAAGGGCTTATTCTTTTTCAAAGAATATTCATGGTATTATAAATTAAACAAATTATCCACTACTCTCTAACAACCAAACCTACTGTTTAAGACAGCCCAGAGAAACAATAAATGGCTACTATAAGAAAGGTTTAGTAATGCGAAAATTATCCAACGACGATGGAAAACGCCATAAAAACCAACAACAGACAGGGGGGCATTTCTGAGCAGAAGTCAAGAATAATGTTCATAAGGGGGGGGGGTAAAATAGTAGTAGTATATCAGATTATGTACAGATTATTTATTTGTTTCGTTCTCTGTAAGCAATGTGAATGAAACTACTGCAAACCCTGCATGTGAAGAACACTCCAAGGAATGAAGAAAGGTGCTTTTTTTATAGCTCCCTCTAACACATATTTCAACAAGACACATTGCTCAAGGGAAAGATAAAGTGTGGTCTATAAAGGCAGGTGGTCTTTCTATACAGGTTTTACCAACCTTGAAGCCTAGAAGAGGAGGTCTGGAGCAGCTGGTCACAAACTTGAGCAGATGCCTCCGTTGAGCATTCGTCAGCCTCTCCACCACTCGCCAGAAGTTGCCGATGACGGGACTGTCATCCTTGTAACCCCCAGAGTAGTTGGTGTGCTGGCGGAGGTCCTCGACATCGATTGGCATGGAGGCACCGGAGATGAGCACCTGGAGCTCCTGGTGATTGAACATGCGGAGCCACTCGAGATCAATGACGTCGGAGAGGCCCTGTCGGAAGGCCAGGATATGAGGCCGGATCTAATAAGGAACAAGTTGGGATGTTGGCGGGAGAAAGAGATTGCATAATAAAAATGGAACAGTAATAAGGAAAACAATGAATAAATTGAAATGATTCGCATCTTCCCTGGTATGTTCATACAGCTCCTGCCTTATTCATTTATCAACTTGTACCGAACTAAAATCATGTTTCAAATCAGATTTTATAACAGCCGACTCTTATTCATGTTTTTTTGTGTAATTCATCACAATAACAATAAATATACAGTAGGTTTGCAGGTGCACCATGTGAGAGAGAGAGAGAGAGAGAGAGAGTGTTGAGGAGTCCTGAAAAAGGACTCTGACTCGGTAATCTTTCTTGGGGGAGTGTAGTCCTAAAAGGGACTGTTTGTTATCTTGCTTAGCATATAATAATAATAATAATAATAATAACTAGACTTTAATTCGTCACTTTGACGAATTAGGTGATACGTATGCTCATGATTTACATAATGAAGAATGCATTTTCACGATGTCATATTGTTATATAAAATTCTTCTCCAATTATGATCTATCCATATGTCAAGTTTCTACTGTTTAGCCTTGATCATTATGGATGTATGGAAGATATATTGAGACAATTTGACCATTGACACTAATAAACATAATGAGGCCTACACATACACATTACATATTCCGTGGTAAGAATGAAGAAAGCGAGGGAAAATGAAGGCAATGACAAACGAGTGAGAGAGAGAATATGGCCGGATTCAAATTAAGTGTTCTTTAAATTATTAGACCCAGTACTGAGGATCTTTTTATCTGCCATGTTTTTGTTAATTGATGGCTTTTGAAGCTACATAGAAATGCCGTCTTTTGTCACCAAATATTGTTCAAATAGCATTGTAGAGACGATGAACAACTACTAACGCAAAGTCGTAAGCCATGAGAATGTCAATTTCTATCTCGTTCTGCTAAATAACCCGAACAATAGAATCAACCAAGTGGAATCAACTGTTAAACGAATTTATCATGAGTTCTGAAACTTCAATTTGGTACTGCACATCATAATAGTATTAAAGAGCAGCAATGGCGAACAATTGTCGCTAAAATTCAGAAATTGTTGCTTAGATTGCTTAAATTACCATGAGACATCAAGCTTCATAGAACTATGATCGACAAACATGATATTGTTTTGAAAACACTATGAAAAAATTGGAGGTAGAATGAATAAGAGATAATGTGGTCATGTAAAAAAGTGCATTATGTCCATGTTAATCCCCTAGTTCCAAAATTATGATTGTATTCTGTATTTATTTCTCCTATATAATTTATTTCAATTTAAAATAGAAATTCTAATGTTCCTTCTTTTGGCTTGATATTTCAGCAACGAATTGACATTTTTGGTAGACATCTTGGATGTATCATAGCAATAAATTCTTGGCACATGACGTATGGTGTATACGATAATAATGATAAGAAGAAGAAGCATACAAATAACTATAAGAATAATAACAATAACACATACTAACTATAATAATGATTATAATTACGATATTTACTATAATAATAAATATAACAATGAAAATAATAATGATTATTATGATACTGCTGATATTACTACAACTACAACTACAACTACTAAGAAGAAGTAAATGAAGAAAAAGGGGTAGGAGAAGAATCATTTCAGCGATATTAGGAGTATATTCTCAATGATTGAAGCATACACGTGCATACACATTACATATTCCGTGGTAAGAATGAAGAAAGCGAGGGAAATTGAAGGAAATGACAAACGAGAGCGACAGAGAGAGAGAGAGAGAGACAGAATATGGCAGGGTTCAAATTAAGTTTCCTTTAAATCAGACCCAGTACTGAGAATCTTTTCATGTGCCATGTTTTCGTTATTTGACGGCTTTTAACGCTACATAGAAATGCCGTCTTTTGTCACCAAATATTGTTCAAATAGCATTGTAGAGATGATGAACACTAATGCAAAGTCGTAAGCCATGAGAATGTCAATTTCTATCTCGTTCTGCTAAATAACCCGAACAATAGAATCAACCAAGTGGAATCAACTGTTAAACGAATTTATCATGAGTTCTGAAATTTCAATTTGTTACTGCACGTCATAATAGTATTAAAGAGCAGCAAAGGCGAACGATTGTCGCTAAAATTCAGAAATTGTTGCTTAGATTGCTTAAATTACCATGAGACATCAAGCTTCATAGAACTATGATCAACAAACATGATATTGTTTTGAAAACAGTCTGAAAAATTGAAGGTAGAATGAATAAGAGATAATGTGGTCATGTAAACAAGTGCATTATGTCCATGTTAATCCCCTAGTTCCAAAATCATGATTGTATTCTCTATTTATTTCAATTTAAAATAGAAATTCTAATGTTCCTTCTTTTGGCTTGATATTTCAGCAACGAATTGACATTTTTGGTAGACATCTTGGATGTATCATAGCAATAAATTCTTGGCACATGACGTATGGTGTATACGATAATAATGATAAGAAGAAGAAGCATACAAATAACTATAAGAATAATAAAAATAACACATACTTACTTTAATAATGATTATAATTACGATATTTACTATACTAATAATAAATACAACAATTATAATAATAATGATTATTATGATACTGCTGCTATTACTACTACTACAACTACAACTACTAAGAAGAAGTAAATGAAGAAAAAGGGGTAGGAGAAGAATCATTTCAGCGATATTAGTGATTATGTTCTCAATGATTGAGGCATACACATGCATACACATTACATGTTCCGTGGTAAGAATGAAGAAAGCGAGGGAAAATAAAGGCAATGACAAACGAGAGCGACAAAGAGAGACAGAATATGGCTGGGTTCAAATTAAGTTTTCTTTAAATCAGACCCAGTACTGAGGATCTTTTTATCTGCCATGTTTTCGTTATTTGACGGCTTTTGACGCTACATAGAAATGCCGTCTTTTGTCACCAAATATTGTTCAAATAGCATTGTAGAGACGATGAACACTAATGCAAAGTCGTAAGCCATGAGAATGTCAATTTCTATCTCGTTCTGCTAAATAACTTGAACAATAGAATCAACCAAGTGGAATCAACTGTTAAACGAATTTATCATGAGTTCTGAAATTTCAATTTGTTACTGCACGTCATAATAGTACTAAAGTAGATGTTCATTGATTTTAAAAACTAACTTTATTTTCATTATTGCAAAGTTGAAGCTTTGATTCGACAAGGTTATCAAAATTCAATGCTTGGACACATTCGAAGTAATGATTAGTATGAATTACAAAACGCTTAAATACAGCCCGGCATAGCACCTGAAGAGCTCTCCGAACGCTGCTGAGATGTGTGAGATCACAGTATGGACATGATTTGCACAAGCAGACGATGTCCCATGACATCTCACACATTTTCAGTGCCTGTGTTTTCATCTTCTCTTGCCTCATTCTAAACCCCGCGCATGGTTTATTTTGATGACAAATGCAGCGATACAAAAATAAAGGAATCTGTCACTTGTAAGCAAAATAAGACGCCATTGTAGATTCAGCTGCACACTACGCGGTATGTTCGGCGTTTCAAGAGGGAAAAAATGCCGTCCTTAATATCATTCCGGGGTTTTTCAGTTTGAAAGTCTGGTTTCTTTGATTGTTAATTAACCCCTATCCTGTGTATTTACAAGCAAAAGATTTTAGTTATCAGAATCGGGTCATATCCCTTTTGAATGATTTGACATGCTATTACATTTATATACACTAAACTCATTATAATTTGTAAAAAAAAATAGCTTTGCAATTATGTTCATTCTTTATGGGATGTCGTCTGCTTGGGCAGTATTGGCCCATATAGTGACGTCATTGGTGCCAGTTAAAAATGTCAGAGGAAAAAATGTCAGAGGTAAACAAGTCAGAGGAAAAAATGTCAGAGGAAAAAATGTCAGAGGAAAAAATGTCAGAGGTAAAAATGTCAGAGGTAAAAATGTCAGAGGAAAAAATGTCAGAGGAAAAAATGTCAGAGGTGAAAAAATGTCAGAGGTAAAAATGTCAGTGGAAAAAATGTCAGAGGTAAAAATGTCAGAGGTAAAAATGTCAGAGGTAAAAATGTCAGAGGTAAAAATGTCAGAGGTAACAAGGGAAACGCTCTCGGCAGTCTCGCCTGCATAACGTAATTCAATATGATAAACAAAAATGTCAATGACATAGCGCTCATCCGCATCTCGCAACAACAAATATCGTAAATTTTATGTGGTACACTTTTGAACTGGTCAAACAATAAAAATTTGATGCCCTGGAAGGGACATAATTTCATTTCATTTGCATAAAGTACCATAAATAATCAATATAGAGCAACATCTCACAATTCTGTGTTGAAGTTTAGTGTTCCAAATTTAGCTCTATCAGATAAGGCAAACCAAATCAAAATCGGTCAAGAAATGAGGGAAAAGAAGCAATTTTTGTTATTTTTGGAATAAATTTGCATAAATTACCATAATCAATTAAAGGAGAGCAATTTCCAAATTTTGTGTAGAAGATTAGTGTACCAAAGTTAGCTCTACGATATAAAGCAAACCAAATCAAAATCGGTCGAGAAATAAAGGAGAAGAAGCCTTTTTTGTGATTTCAAATGAATTTGCCTAAATTAGCATAGATAATGAATTTCACGATTCTGTGTAGAAATTTTAAATCCCCCTCCTAGCCCTATCATATGAAACAATCAGAATCAAAATCGGTTGAAAAATAACGAAGAAGAAGCATTTTGAAAATCCTGATGTTGATGCCACAACAAAGTCTAAGTTTGTTGATCTTAAATGACCTTTGACCTTAACTTAGTGACCTGAAATTCTACTCACATGATTGGGGAGACTTGATAACCCTATAGTCCAAGTTTCATTGACTAAGAACTTATACTTTCAAAATTATATCAAAAATTCAAAAACTTAACCTTAGCTTAAGTGTTTGATGATGATGCTACAACATAGTCCAAGTCTGTTGACCTGAAATGACCTTTGACCTTGACTTTGTGATCTGAAATTCTACTCACATGATTGGGGATACTTGATTACCCTACAGTCCAAGTTTCATTGACTAAGAACTTATACTTTCAAAATTATATTAACAATTCAAAAGCTTGATGATGATGTTAATCATAATAATAATAATAATAATAATAGCCTAATAGTCCACTCCAAATTTTATTAAACCGAAAAAGAAATTCTTTTTGCCCAATTGATCGTGAGCCCGGCAGCCACTGAGCAGCACCAGATTGACGTTGCTCTACCCCTTATTGTTGAACGCCAAACAAGGTAGCAACAACTCCTATCTTTTAACATCTTTTGGTATGACGCGGCTGGGGTTCGAACCCAGGACCTCCTGGTTGTGAGGCGGACGCTCTACCGACTGAGCCAACACTCCAGTTCTAAGGAGAACTATAGCGCTTGAAAAGGATGAGTGGCTCAACGTTTCGAACAGGTTGACTACCTGTCGTCAGGAGTTAACTTAATAAAGTTAATTTAAATATTGATATCCCACACTTTTGATGTATTTCTTAAAACCTGCCAAGTCAGAATGCACTTTTTATAGGATGAGCTCTAAGAATGTTTACTCCAGATAACTATGGGCGCGTTCATGCTTGATTTTGAAGGCAGAATGAGCGATTTGTGACGCTCATCGTAAACGCTCATCGTAATCGCAGTTCCACGGTGCACTGTTCATGCTCACTTCTCCAGGCAATTCTCCTTGGGTGGCCTTCAGCTGGATTCGCAAACCTGTGTGCGCATGCTACGTAGACCCACTAGAGGTCAGTGCGTTGACCCCATTTAAACACGTTTACAAATTGTAAACGCATCTTTTTGTGAGTTTACGATCGGCGATCGTGATCGCCGTTTTTCGGTGATTCTACAAAAGTGAGCATGAACGCAATCGTGTTTCAAACTAAACGCGTAACAGATGCCTGATTCTGGCCGTCAAAATCAAGCATGAACGCGCCCTATAACAGGCTGAAATTAACATGCTTTAAATTCAAATCAATTCAATCCAAAGAAACTTCAATTTTCTTGCAGGAAATGTTATATAGAAAGAAAACTTGTAATAGTACAAAACATTTCTCATTCTGCATGATATACTGAAAAGTAGTCGGACACATACCTGTTTGTTGAGCCTGAAGTCAGCCATGAGATGGATGTATTCTATCCTGTTAGATGCTGTGACTGGAATGTCAGAACCACCAGGCTTCAGATCATGAACCTACAGAAAGAGGGCGAGACAGAGAAAGAGTGAGAGTGAGACAGAGAGAGACATCAATCTACATTTGCCACTCTCCACCCAGGTGTTAAATGGATACCGGCAGGAAGGAATTCCTTGAATGCTCGAATGGTTGCCTAGTAGAGCCAGGGAAACATTGGAGCACCTTCAGCACCTTACATGGTGGATGTGTGTCCTATATAAATATCAAAAATTATTATCATTATTCTAAAACTTATCGAATTGCTGAATCCTACACTACAAACAGTGCCTAACGTAACACCCAACTACAGCCCCACATCTAAATCTAAACCTTATCGTTGATGAATTAAACAATTTCTGTAAATATCAGTACCTGTGCTTCTCCAAAGTCATTGTCCATGACTGTGAATGTCAATCCAAGGTCACAGATATCTCCCCGGTAGTCCTTCAGAAATAGTAGATTCCTGGGGGGCAAGAAGAGATAAACAATGGGGGAATATAAAACACTGTTCCATTATCTGGTTGTTCTCAAAGGAACCCATTATATGATACTCTGACAACTCTCTCAAAAACCCTCAGAAGAGAGGAGTCAAGTATGCAGACATATAGTGAAACCAGCTTTAGCAACCAAAGAAGGACAAACTTAGAAAAACAAATCTTCTGATGTGTTACTCATTGAAACCTGTCTCAAAATAACATGAACATAAAGACCATCTGCTTGTTGGAACTTTAAAACAGGTTTATGTCAATCTTGTATTGGAAGTCTGGAAACCTGAAATGGAGAAACATAATTTTTCCATATGAATCAACACTTTACCATTGATAAATGCAAATAGCCATTAAGAGTTGATACATGCAGTTAATAAGAATTGAATATATATATATATATATATATATATATATATATTAGAAATTTTTTATATGCAATGGTTTAAGGTCCATACATCACAACATCTAGTTTGACTCAACTCCCAGGAGGTGTTTCACAAAGAGTAAGATCGACTTTAAGTTGGACTTAACTATGGCAGGCCACTCATGCTACTGGTTGCTCTCACCATTATGATCTTTAGATAATATTTATTCCTTCAATAATGAACTATCAAAAACTGTAAATTCTGTAGATTTGTGACCATGATTTGTAGTCCCTTGAGAGACCAATGCCAGTAAATGGTGAGAGAAAAAATAGTGGCATGAACGGCCTGCCATAGTTAAGTCCAAGTTAAAATCAATCTTAGTCTTTCTGAAACATTCCCCTGATCAGTCTTGCATTACAATAGTGTTAACTTACTTGTACATAAGAGGATCTAGGGAAGCTAAATGATGGATGTCTACATTGGTATGTCTGCTCAGTATCTTGGAGAGAAAGAAACTTGCAAAGGGGATCTCTACCAACAGGTTCTCATACAAAATCTGTAGGGAGAAACAAAAATAGTAAATAAGTAGAGGTGTTGTGGTCGAGTGGATATGTCACTGGACTGTGGATCACAAGGTCCACAGTTCGAGTCCCACGGAGAACTAATGTCCTTTGGCAAGACATTAAATCTAACAGCTGCCTGAGCTAGGGTAATAATTTCCAAAGCTTTAAGGAAGCGCATAGAGACGTGCTTTTGTAATGTATTATAAATGCGCTATACAAAAACTGAATATTATTATTAATATTATTATTATGACTTGCCAACATTGTCTTATACATAAATTTTGATAAATCAGACAGTACATATAAATCGTTATGCTCATAACCATCTACTAGTATTCATTTTCTTTTCATATTCTTTTCATCTTGCATGATTAAACCAAAATTGTATTTCAGCCAAAATTTCTCACTTATTGCAATACATTTATATGAATTACAATACATGAAACCTCTAATCTTTGACCCATTCACCCTCCTAACTACTTGCCTCATGCTTGCATATTTATAAAGACATAAGTACATTTGCAATACAGCAGCTTCACTGATGAACTGGTATCTTGAAATCAAAGAATCTTTATGAATACAATGACACAGAAGTCATCTCCCATAAGAACAGATGGATGGAAACCGAATGACAAAATGCCTCTGACACCACAGCATACCAATAGGAGATCAAGCTGGGCAACATGGTTGTTAGACCGAGGAAATTGGTCATTTCAACCTAGCCCGATATATTCTACAAAACCAAACTGCAACCTTTCAAGTTTGAGATACATACCTTTCCTAGTATCCTGCCAATAAAGTAATAATGCTTGGTGAAGTCTTCCATCAGCATGGCCGACTGTGGGTTAGGGTAGAGCAGTTCATCGGTTGTCGTCCTGAAGAAGCCTCTGTTGGGATCAAAGGCTGACATCAGGAGCTGAGAAAGGAACTCTCGGGTAACGCCTCCACCATCAATCCCAGCCTCGTCTAGGCCCTGGGCGTTCTTCAGGGTCACCCGAAGCTTTTTACGCAAATCAGGTTCTGAATGGAAAGAATAAACAATGTGAATCCATGTGTATATTCCACAATATACATGTAAACGAAGCAGTGTCTTTTACAAGGCCTGGACAACCATAATATGCTAACCAAGGGAAAGCAAATCATAAGTATAAATTTCCAGATTAGGAACAAACAGAATAGTAAGGATACTCTTTTCAGTTTATGCACTCAGGTAAAATAAGGTTAAAATCTTAAACCATCCAAAAACAATTAATGGGTTTCATATCTGGGTCACAGATACATATCTCCCCCCCCCCCCCCCCCCCTCCGCCACACACCCAGTGAAAACATAATCTTTTAAATCAATTACTCATCTCTGAGACTCAGAGACAGTTTAATTTTCATTTACATAGTGTAATTTACAATTTGTCTTTCAAATGCGTTTTGACCGGAGTATTCTCATGCTCAGCTTAGTATTCAGTTGGTCAACAAAATATTTCATCTTCATTGAAGTTTCTCCAAAAAGGACATAAATCGAGGAAACAAAGGACTCACCATTCTCTGGTCTCAGTCTGTCATAAGCATCTTCATAGATGTAGTTTCTCCTGATGATGATGTCAATGGATTTACCCGGTAAGAAGCCAGCAAACTCCCCCTGTGAGTCGTGCTTATCAGCCAATACCCAGTCTCGAAATACCTACAACAAAGAGACATTTAATGTAGCAGTGTAAACATGGCATATTCAGAAAAAAACAAACCTTTACCAGAGAACCATCTTTAAACCAAACAGGCCCCTGCATCATGTATCATACCTGTAACATTGAATATTTGGGATGATGCAGGACTGCAGATGACATATTTCTCTGTCTTCCATATGAGGCAGCAAATAAACATAATACACTAACGAGCATAAAGAAAATTACTATATTTCTACAGAAATCATGTCCCCCCCCCCCCCCCCCCCCCCCAATGTAACCTGACATTCAAAACTATACATAACAAATATCCGGTGCATGACTGCTTCATACTTAATTTGCTATAGCTGGAATTCATCAAATAAAAGGTAGCACCCTATTACGAAAAACTCTGCAATGCAATGTAATCATCACATGAAGAGCTATGATTGATACAAATAGATTGCAACCACATAGAAATTAACCACAACTCCCTAACAATAAAAAGCAACTGTGACTTTGCGATTGATTGGAGGATTTGTTTATCACCTGCATCTTTCTGGTAACCTATCACTCAGCTCTTGTCAGGAATCAGGAGATAATCTTATGAGTGGGGGAGAGTGCAAGGAAAATGTCATAAAATGACCCCCTAAAGAAAGTTGAGCTTCCAAGAATGAACAAAGTGTGTGACCAATACCTGGACTCTCTCTTCAAAGGGGATCACAAAGGGCATCTCAGCCAGGATGACCAGACGTCTAGCCATGTGGGTGGATGGAGGCGGACCTTCCTCATCCTCTAGGTTTGGTTGAGCCAAGAACTGCAGTCTCCTCGGCCGGTACATTCTACCTCCATGACCTCTCACACCTCGCGACTATCAAAAGTAAAGAAAAATACAGGTAAATCATAATACTGTTCATTACGTTCCATATTTTAATGGTTAACTGAACTATGAACTTAATTCTTACAATTTTGGTGGTAAATAAACTTCATCAAACTTCAGAAACGAGTATACTTCCTACAACTGGTATATTACAGGGTACATTAAATGCTGCACTAAATTTGATTATGATATACAACATCTTTAATGCCAAACTACCTAATGCATGGGTTATGGCCATGAGTAATGCAAGGATTCTAGGATTAGGCAGTTAACCATACAGATTTCTCCCTATTGGTTAATGATGAAAATAATAATAATAAATAAAATCAGAATATTCCTTTCTAGCTCATACACATAAGGCATTAAGGACTTTTCGATTTTGCAAGTCGACGTAGTGGACTGCTACGTTTGACGTCACACGTAGCAGTCCACTATGTCGACGAGCAAATCGAAAAGTCCCTATTGAATCATGAGTAAAATACCCTTTCAGCAAAGACGTGGACATTTGGAGCCAGCCAATGGTTGTGTGGACAGAATGGCCGCCTGATATCACGAGAATGGAGCTGCTTGATCAGTTGAGTTGTAACCTGATGCAGAAAAAGAAAGACATCAAAAAAACAAATGAGTAGATATATCGTAAATAGTAACAGAAGACATATCCTAGTTTAGATCAAACATATTGCGATGACAATCAAGTGCACTAACCATTGGCATAAAAAACAATATTCTGATCTCAATACCGGTAAAACCAATTTCTGAGGCACATTTCGACCAGTGTCAAAAGCACCATGTTTGTGGCACCCGCAGAGAATTTCATAACGATTGAAACTGGACTGTCTACAGAGGATAATTTTACACATATAATATACCTCAGAACCCTTATTACTGAGGCCTATGTAAATTTTAATGTCAGAAACTGCAATATTAGAGGTGATTATGAGCTAGATGTGTATCCATAAGTATTATGTAGTTAATGAAGTCTATTATTTGAATAAAAGTTGATGGAAACAAAAAGAAATCTCAAAATCATTATCTTGAAATAGATGTGGAGGTAGGTACCTTGAAGACATGAAGCCATGTTGCCATGACCTTCTCTGCTTTCTTAGGGTCAACCCTCTGTCTGACCCCTACGCTGGCCATAGCTAGGGAGTAGTCCGATGTGACCGATGGGGTAGTCTCAGGGTAAGCTAGCTCCACCATTCCCAAGCAGGTGTTGCGTAAAGCCCAGCTCATGTGCACCAGCTCCTCACGGGTGAATGGCATTAGGCTGTTCCGGTTTGAATCTGCGATTTGAAATGCGATTGAATGGAAATGATGAATGATAAAGTGCAGTATATGTTTCTGGGACAGCTATGGAGTCAGGAAGATGACTGCATGATGATACTGAACTACATTTTCAAGAATTTAACTAAACAAGGAAGAAACAATATACCAATTAATGACAATCTTTTATTCATGTCTAGATTTAATTTTCAAAAATCCAATATTACTGCGTTGATTATCAACTACAATTAAACATATTTTTCTGACAGATGGATTAAGAAAACATAAATATACTTGATCACTAAGTAAATGAATCAAGTATAGGAACATTCCTAGTTTATAAGATGCATTTCAAAAAGATTCCAGGGCCCTCATCAAGAGCATTAATAACACAATGAGGTTTCTCTGGGTTAGTAGTTATCACCATTATTTCACTACACCAATCTTTATTTAAAGGGTTCATCTTAACAAATTTTCTTGCATTATCGTGAGCCATAAATTAATAACAAGTGCGTCAATCAAATGTGGCTCTTTCTGGGTACCGGTAACTAAACTGTGGACAGTCCATAAATATTAACAATATATTGATAAAATGGTTGACATGGATTGAATTTGTACCTGCATCATCACCATAGAACTCTGAGTCATGGAGAGACATGAGAAGATGACCAAAGAGAGAGCAGAAGACAGAGAGAAGAGGGATGATACGATTGATGTCGGTTGATGGAAGATCTATTCCTCTTGCTATCGTCTGCAGCAAGGGGATGCGGGCCCTGTGATAAAAGAGAAAATGAGAAGGAGATGTTAGATTCCTTTCATCTGTTGATAACCAGTAAAGGGTCAATCAGGTATATGTACAGTTAAGAACTAAATTATTCATGCCCTAACCAAGTTTTGTCATTTTTTAAATATGTGAAAATTGACTTGTCCTGATTCATTTTTCTTGAGAATGTGACATAATTATTAAAACTTACATCTAAAAGTATTCAACAAAGTCCACCTTTCATTCTTGAATTACAAAAAACATCCTATTTACAAGGGGTATGAATAATTTAGTTGTTAACTTTATATCATCAATGTTGAAAGCTTTTTTTAACACTTGTATTCACAACTAAGAGGTACTAAGAATAGTGCTTCAGGGTTTACTGGAAACCGCCATTACATTCCTTAATTTGTTCCTCTTATGAGCATTTTGCTATACTTGGGTCCATAGTAACGGTTGTAGCTAAAATGTCACCTCTATCAAATGGGATCAGCAATGAATGGAAATTTTTAGTGCCCCCCCCCCCCCAAAAAAAAAAAAAAAAAAAAAAAAAATAGATACAAATTAAATAGATACAAATTAAATAAGGAAAATCCACCCGAAAACAAGTTTTCACTCAATCCAAACCATTATAGATAGGCATGTACTATAAATGAAAATAACCAAGGTCATCAATAACAAAACATGTGCTGGAATAAATCATAAAGTATGTATAGAAATAAGTCTAGAAGTGGTTATTATCGATACAATGAGTATAACAAATTTCGGTCTTACGTGTATTACTCAACAAAAAAGTGAAATGTACTCACCCTGTTACTGATACTGATGAAACACTCTTCAATGTAATCCAGAGATGCCTCAAGAATGACTTGTTAATTGCAAGAGAGTACAGTAATCTAAGAATTAAACAAGAAAAAGATTAAATGACTTACACAGAAAGAAACATATAAGAGGCAACAGTAAATGCCACCTTGCAAAGAAAGAAAACAACAAATAACTATTCAAAGGGGGGAAATAGCTTAAAGGTAAAGACCAGTTATGGTCATGCGATTGCATTGTGAAAGAAACGTTGTGGAATCGATCAGAAAAGGTTGATCATCGAGCATCTAGCATCTGCAAGGTTCTGGAATCATCAAAATGATAAGAAATTTGGCCCATTCTTCGTAAAGTTACAAGCACTATACATAGAAAGATGTATATGGGACTACCCTATATCTCTCACAGACCATGAGAGAAACAAATTTACCAAATATATGAATTAGTAGGCGGTTTCCCGGCAAATTTTTTATCATCATGTATTAGTCAAAACATATTCTTTCACATGATTGGTAATGAGAGCTTCCATTTCATTTTTTGAAATTGGGGCGTTTCCAATACTGGTCTTTACCTTTAATTATTTAAGTTTCCAATTCTTAAAGGGATCCGGTAACTTTGTATCAGATTCTGAAACAAAATCCTGGATTAGCTCATGCTGCAATGATAATTATAAACCTTTAGGTCAGTCTGGAACCCCATGTCTTTTACAAGCCGATCGTCTGTCTGATCATCAAGATATCTATGATTGGAAATCGAAACCAAATTTTGTGTTTGCCCAACAGTTTTCACAACACTACAGTCTATTGGGAAAAACGAGTATGGTAAAACCGGTCACTCAAAGGTGTTCACAGACACTGATAACACGTAGGGCCATGCATCTCAGATTTAACATTGTTAAACGATGACTGTAAGTATGGCAGATGAGTCTTTTTGTTATCCTTATCAAATTGTGGAACACTGAGTTCAACAAAAGTATGATCTAAGACCCAAGCTGTAAAGCACATAGCAAGCTTCATGTCAAAAAACTGAAGTATAAACAAAATACAATCAAATTCACAATAAACATCACAAATTAATTGTAATACTACTACTACTACTACTATTATGTAGCACTATGTAGTGTATTGCATGCTGTTACCTAGTCCTGGGTACATGAAGCTTGTGATCCACCATCAGTGAATGACATAAGGTACACAGCGCCGTCAAGGCTGCCACATTGCCATGCGTTGTTGTAGCGATGAGACATTGGACGTGAGCAGGAGAGTTGACCTGTCTTACGCACTGCTCACGTATCTCTGAGATAGTGGAAGCGCTACCAAACTGTAATGACAGAGACAAGAGTGGAATTTCAGCGTTATTTTTCATTGGGATCTTAATGCCTTATGTAAAATGGCTGCCAAATTCCACTCAACAATTCAAATAATGTATAATGTACAGTGTACAGGTGTGTGGAGTGAACTTTGAACTCCTAGTCTATGTCAATTCAATATAAGAAATATGTAAATGTCTTGTGAAGTTTCGTCCATTGAAAGATATTCGAAACCAGAAATGAAATTTGTCACTTGAAAGAGAATATATTCTTGGTGAAACAGACAAGACCAAATCCACAAATACAAGACAATGAAACTTGTGTTTTCACTTCTATCCATTGGACGAGGCTATGAGTACGAGTTAACATGTCTTGCCCGAGGAGCATAATCATTTGATATTATACAACTCACTCCTAGGTCCTAATCATATAAATGGTCAAACACAGTCATGTGTAATTCATTCACCGAGACAATCACTTTTTTTCATGAAAGAGAGTGCAATAGCTTACACTACTATCGCAAGTTTCAAGTGTGCGACGAGCAACAGCGCATGCAGCAGTTAATTTGCTGGGATTTGGTGGAAATACCATCAATGGGTTGTCAAGTCTTGCACAGCAAACCTGTGGTCCCATCAAGAAATACCACCTAGTCTCGCGTAGAGTCTTCAGAATACACATCTCAAAATAAGAGTTTCATGACACTCACCTCTCCGATATCTCTCTCTACATCTTCCTCCATGTCGGAATCTTCATCAGCGGCAAGCATATGATAGAGTCTCTCAGCGCTAGGCAACGTGGGTAAGAGGATCTTAAGAAGAAGTAGGTATCGGATCACAAGGTCTGAAGGAAATTGATCTGCAAGAGGGAAAATATAAAGACATTTTTTTAAACTTATGCAAGTCTTGCTTTTTTTTTAAGGTTATAGGGGACTAAAGACAGTGGCAGGCCCTCATTTCATTCCATTTTCTGGCACAGAGCAGTTCCCACAATGCATCAACTATGATTACATCCTACACATCTCTATAGCTCAATATATTAATTAAATTTCGAAATCCCAACTACTCTTGCATTGAAACACACATGATAATGGGAATTTTTAATCTTGAATAAATGCTGGCTAGGGTGAGATGTTGATTAGGCAGTTGAAGTTCATGGGTCACATTACACATAAAGAAGGCCTAGAGAATCTTGCTTTGACAGGGAAAATTGTGGGAAGAAGGAGTAGGGGAAGAAGGAGGACACTTTGGATGGACAGTCTGCAGAAATTGTTGGAAGAGAGAGGAGTGAAAGAACTGGGAGTGGTACTAATACAGAAGGCTAGGAACCGAGGGTTGGAACAGTATGATCGCCAAAGTCAAACGATATGGCACTTAGAGAGAGAGAGAAAGAGGGTGATTGAAGATATTTCAAGGGTTATCACTAAGACTGTAATTGCTTTGGATGTACACAAGCATGAAACACAGATAATTATGTTTAACTAGTAGAAGCATATAACAACTCGTTTCTTCGACACTCACCAACATAAGGCCCCACTATGGTCATAACAGCATACAGTAACCATGGCGATGGCTCCACCCCTAACTGCATATTCTGTTCATCTGTGCCATCAGTCAATGATGGTAGGAGGGCTGCAAGGAGCTGTTCCGGCGGTATACCACCCTCCCTCTGGGCCAGTGCAGGTATAAGGAACTCACTGATTTGATCCGTAGACTGCCGGCACAGCAGTTCTTGGCACAGAGAACACAAGGCTATATTTCTACATAAAGAAATGAAAATGGTTTAAAATTTGAAGTTTGAATTTAAATGGACCATCCTACTATCATCCAGAGTAAAATAAGACAGCTACATTGAAAAAGACAGAGCTCAACATTAAAATTCTGCACGATAGTTTTATTTTTAAAATTTAATTCCGAAAGTATTTGATACTAAACTTCTTGCAGTTGCCAAGTGTTACAAATATATATGTACACAAATTATGAAATGTTGCAAGTCCATCTCTTGCATCTTTCATGCTATTGTTTTGTTTTGTGGAGCTCCAAGCAAAAGAGAAGGGGGAGGGCAAAACAAGTTGATAATGGAAACAGCATGTCATGGAAACAGTAATACAATGCAGTTACATTGACAAGAACAAGGGATAATGACACTCAAGTATTGTATGATCTCTCTGTACTTTACTAGCATTCAACATAAGTAGAAAGAATGCAGCTGTATAGTATTTCATCAAGCACTGAACCTCAATTTCACTCTCCTGGAAACTGACCTTTGAACTTTGAAGGCTGGGTGTTGACCTGTGACTTTGAGAGGTCTCAAGGTGAGGTCAAGGCTGGTTTGAGCTAAAGGTGGAGGATGTGACACATCAATTCCAGGGGGGAGTCTCTCATTGATAAAACCCCTGAGATTCTTGTAATAACCTGTTCAGGGAAAACCATACGAATGAATGCGATCTGCATGTTATCCATTCATCAATTCTAATCTAAATGCATTCATTTTCATTGTGTTGAACTGCTCCGTGAAGCAAGATAAACATAACTTTAACATTAGAGGGATACCATATAAACTAAGAAGATTACTCTATTCACAAATCTAATTCGTATAAACTAACACTACAATATGCAAACAATATTAGTGCTGAATGCTGCCATCTCTACCTACTTTGGGGTATTTTCCATGAATAATAACAAATACTACTTGCAAACTAACGAATGATAATCAACTAAATTGCTGACAAAAGTAAAAAATATGTACAGGAAGTTGTTGCTTGTAACAAATCGTTGTATTTATGCAATCAGCGAAATTGTTAATAAGCAAATATTTTCTTCAGCTATACTGCTAAATGATTAGTTGTCATAGAGGCAATACATAAGATGTCCATAAAACAAAGAAGACAAATTCAAAATATGAATTTACCTACATGTATCCTAAATTATGAAGATTCAAATAACAGACATTTTAGTACAATTTCCTTGGATGATATGATTAGCTTTAATATCGAAATGCATTACCATTTTGCACTAGGTACATTTGAAGGGCAGCTATGGTTTTTATTGCATCATCCAGGGTGATTCCATTTTGAGTGTAGGTAGTAACATCTGTGTAGACCTCCAGCATACGGAGGGGCATTGCAACTGGGGTAGAAGAGGGTGCTTCCAGGAGACTGTAAAGACAAAGGTTATGTGAAATACACATATTATTACAGCTTGAATATGATTTTTTTTTTTTTCTCAATTTACCTTCCTAGCCCAGACAGAACGGCAAAATGTTGAAATAAATCGCAACAATAATAAGGGAGTTGAGTGTTTGAAATATGAGATCACTAAATCTATGCAAGACAAAGTGAATTTTGGATAGAAAGAAGAACTATTTGGAAAACATTGCAAATTTACATTTTCTAATAGACATGCCCTACAGTATTAACTAGTTAGGGCCTAAGCCCCTTGTCATGCATGTTAAAATGAAACGGATAAATAGAACAAATAGAAAGTGAAGAAAATAGGTGATAAAGGGGCATAAAGTCACTTTTATGATGGCTTTGTTTACATCATAAAGGAAGGATTATACATTACAAGTGGCTATTATGGCAGCTACTATAGATATCTGTTCTCTTGTCACTTGAAAATGGTCTTAAATAGAATTTCATACATGTATATGTCATATTTATTAAAATATATTATTATACCTGCAGCAGAGCCTGAGAATGTGCATCGTCTGATAGAGCCAGGTCTGATGCTGTTGCTTCAACAGGCCAATACTCTTCTCTCTCTGCTTTAACATTGTTTGACACAACCACGTCTGAAATCAAGAAAATATCACGAAAAATACAAGAATAAAAATAAAATGTCTTGTGTTCCCAGACTAGCCTCATCAGTATCAATTCTGTTCTCCTTGAGGCCCTGCAATCAACCTTAGGTGTCTTTGACATTCAATATAATATGGGAAATAATTCAAACCAAAACTATTCAATACTTTTCAACTTTCACTTGGACATGTTTCCTTCAAAAATGCAACTGACCAGCCAAGTGGAGGGAACAGAAATATTAATTGATATAATAACAATTAGCTTAATTATATCTATCTACAAGTAAACCAACTTTATCATATACTGTACTTAACATTCCAATATCAGCATTTTTATCGATTGCACTATAATTCAGGAAGCAGAATTTATCTGCTGAAAAGATTTAGAATATATGTTTGTTATGTTTGAGCATATGGGAATATGGGAAATAATTCAAACTAAAACTATTCAATACTTTTCAACTTTCACTTGGACATGTTTCCTTCAAAAATGCAACTGACCAGCCAAGTGGAGGGAACAGAAATATTAATTGATATAATAACAATTAGCTTAATTATATCTATCTACAAGTAAACCAACTTTATCATATACTGTACTTAACATTCCAATATCAGCATTTTTATCGATTGCACTATAATTCAGGAAGCAGAATTTATCTGCTGAAAAGATTTAGAATATATGTTTGTTATGTTTGAGCATACAGTGTTGTGAACTGGAGTGGAATCTTTCTATCCTCCTTCCCTCTCTGTCTTTATATTAACAAAATCTAGCTCTTTTCTTTTTATTCATCTCTGCCCGTCCCTCTTTTCTTTCTCTGCCTTTATCCCTCTATTTCTGTATGTCTTGTTCTATCTCTCTTTTTGTCTCTATTCATTTCTGTGCATTTCAAACTCTCTAACTCTCTATCTTTTTTTAACAGTACATGAATAATAATAATAATAATAATAGTGGGTTCTTGTGTAGCGCTCATGTCTGTCAGACTTGACACTCCTAGCGCTAAAAAATTATTACCTCAGGTTAAGGATGGCTGCCATTATGTAACTCTAACATTTTAAGAAACTAATTCATGCCAGGTACCCATGTACCCCACCTGGGTCAAGTGTGGCAAATGTAGACTAATGTCTTGCCAAAAGACACGAGTGCTGCGGTGGGACTCGAACCACAAACCATGTGATCCACAGTCCAGTTATGTATCCACTACACCACGACACCTCCAATATTAATATCTTACCAATCTCTGGACATCCTGTTTCTCACTATAAAATCGAAGGAGAAGCCTAAGAAGCGCATCAAGGGTCTGAGAGTCAACTTGCTGCTGATGAACGCTTTTCATCAGCTCCTCCCACTTCCCTCTGTAGAAACGCATCAGCTTCCGCCTGCAGATGGCGCCCCGCACAAAGGACTGCATTTTAACGGCACTTCTCAGACGATTCCGCTCAGCCTGTCAAAGAAGGAGAAGAGAGAGAAGGAAAGTAGAAGGGTTTCAAAACGTTGAGAGCATTAAAATAATTTAAGCATGCCAAGTAATGATGAAGGATGTTGTAGTTGAGTGCCGAGAATGATTTTGCCATAATTATACTGAATATACTGTATGTACAAATAGTTTCATTCAAATGCAAACACAAGGGGCAGTGACTGAGAACAATATCTTTGTATGTTGTTCGTCTTGCCAAATGCAATAACTAGATCTTAATAGCTTCCCCTATAAAAAGCCCTTTATTGTAATACACATACCGTAATTCATGTTGTATTAATCACACTTTTTTGCCACCAAAAAAAAATTCAAAGTCGGGGGTGCGTCTTATACACGGTACACCAAAAACAAAACAATTTTTTTATATTTTTTTTTTAAGCTTTGATTTATGCCCCTCCATCTGGCGCTATGCCTGGCAATGTCTCCCAGCTCAGTAATCGGTGTGTTGACTCACCACTCGGAAACTAGAACAACACTCAAATTTGTCTGTCATCTTGGTTTGAAAGTAATCTTTCTGATAGATCTCAATATGTAGTTTATAATAATTCCTCCAATTTTTCTTCTATTACACGGCGTACCACAAGGTTCTATCCTAGGTCCTCTACTGTTTTTTAATTTACATTAATGATCTTACACATTCAGCTGCACCTCGCAGTTAAATGAAAGGCCTTCCCACGTGGGTTTTTTAACACGGACCTGGCTTGCTGTCGACAGAGTTTTTTTAGGGCGAAAAAGAGGGGTGCGGTTAATACACGAGGGCGGTTTATACAACGTTAATTATGGTACATTATAATCGAAACTGACATAACGAGGTTCTTCAATACAGGCATAAAGGCAAGTGGGTAGAAGTAAACTGAGATAGTATGATGGAAGTTCAGATGGCTCACCTCTCTCTTCTGTCTTTCCTCTTGGTTTCTCTGGAGCAGTGATGCTGTCATTTCCTGAAAAAAAAAAAATTATACATTCCGTAACACGCCTCCAAATAACCTTTTACACAGGAGGTCCAGACTGACACTTACATGTACATTAATCTGTATGCATGGGTCCCCCCCCCCCATCATGATCCTTTTATAAATTTTGTTATTTTCGGTTCTTAGTAAAAAAAAAAATTAGGGGCCAATGTACACACATATACTGGGCACCCACCACCTGTTCGAGTAGAGCCCGGCATTACATAATATTACAAAATGTTGACGAAAAATCAAAGCACAATGTCTACTTCTTTATACTAAAGATGCAATAAACCTACAATAAGATCATTCTTAAATAAGTAAGATGAGGCTACAAAAGTTTCATGCTGTGGATAGTTGTTTGTATATATTTTACAGCCCCACTGCACTACTTATAGCTACTTGCGCCCTCTATACAGCTAATAATGCCTTAGCGGTACCCGTTGATCCCCATGATGCCCTTTTTCTTATGTTAATTGTCAGTTGATTTGATGAGATAACCACCTGCCAGTGATCTTGCAGGGAAGTCTAATCCCTCAATGCCAAACTAGTGCAGAGGGCTTTAAAATAAATGTTCCTACATGTAGCTCATGTGCTGTTCTGAAATAAAATAGTTGAAACACTTTTAATCAGATCTACATGTACATCCAAGTGATGTAAATGACATTGTCTGTCTATAATGCTTGCCTACAACTACGAGACATAATAGCTTTCTTACATGTACAGTACTGACCTTTTTGCTGGCACCTCGCATGGAAACTACTGGCTTCCTGCGAAATTCCCCTTCAAAGCTGAACATGGTATTACTGCGCTCCAAACAGCACTAACAAGAAAACCTGAAAAATACAATAAGACGGCAAAATGTAAACAATGATTTAAAGAGAATTTCTAATCACTTTGTTAGTATGCAGAGTCTATTTCCATTCAGACATAGCAAGAGAAGTGTCTAAAATTATACAGTTGTTGCAAAATGTAACCATTGTATGGCCAAGGGTCCATAACCTACCGGTATGCAAGTTGTATAGCTGTACACCTTGCAAATGTGAATATGAATAATGCAGTGCATAAAATGTGCTAAAGTTCAGTCCAAGTGAGAAATTATGACAATATTGACAACAATTATGCAAGTTTTGCACCTTTTTTTCTCCCATTGTTCTGAAAATTGAAAATAAACATGAATCTGGAAATATTCCTTATTTTTAGAAGATGTCTGACATTTTATGATAAGTATGATACCACCTGATTGTACAATATTTTTCTTTGCAACTGATGCAATTACAAGTAGATCTACCGCAGAGCTGCCAACCTTGTGCGACCAAAAAAGGAATCATGATGGCAAAAAAAAGGAATTTCAAGCAAAAAAAAGGAATTCATAAAAACAAAACTTATAACCACGCGCGACACACTTCAAAAGGCAGAAATGTTCATTCATCATGCTGTTTTTTCCATACAAGCAGGAATTTTTTTTGGTGGTTATTTTGGTATTAACGGCATTTTATTTATATAAATTTTATAAAATTACTTTCCTATTGAATTTGTGATCGAATCACCATTTTAGGGCAGTTGTTTGACGTACGGTACATTTTTGTATGTAAAAAAAAAAAAAAATTAAATTTAAAAAAATTTAAAAAATTAAAAAAATTAATAAAAAACGTATTTTATGAAGAAAAAATGTAATACCGTAATTGGGAGGAAAAAACGGAGTAATTCCGGCAAAAACGGAATGGTTGGCAGCTCTGCTACCGGTATTGAGAAATCATGGATCAAGTAGAGCATAATATTATAACTCTCAGACTCTAAGGTCTATAGTATATGTAGTCCAACGTTTTTCAACCCCATAGTGCCAAAATGAACATCGATTTCATGAAAACAAAATATTAGAAACTGCTATTGTATTTTCATGAAGGAATTAAATTTAAAGACAGTCACATTTCTCTTCCCTTGCTCTCTCGCAACATTAAGAAACGGTATGATTTCAAGCAGTGCAGTGTGTGAATACCTACACAATCAATTACTCACCGCAATGCGGAATATCTCTGATAGCCAGGTGCCCAAATTTATCTTATATTTTGTATATCGAAATTACCACACTTTTTCACTTCACTCGCTCAGGACATTTAGAAAAGGGACAATTCTGGACAAAAAGATCCCTAAATATCCTTATATTGTGCATCAAGGTGAGCAATTTTATGACTTTGATACTCATGTATTGGGCAGCAGGGTGCCAGCATACAATTACTGGGTAATATAATATCTTATCTAGTGTGTTTCGTATACAAAATAACATTTTTACCATACTAAAATGTCATTGTATTTAGGTAACTCGCTGCACTCTCCTGCTCGCATATTTTATAAAAAACGTACAGCAGTGGCGGATCCAGGGGGGGGCCCGGGGGGCCCGGGCCCCCCCCCTTGAGAAAAAAATCATGTAAAATCACGTGATTTTTACCTTTTTTGGAGGTTGGGCCCCCCCCTGGCGCTCAAGGGGGGGTGCAAATTGAATTTTTTTTTGAGGATCAAAAAAAAAAAATGTGCTCACTACCCCCCCCCCCCCCCCCCCCCCCCCCCCCCCCCCCCCCCACTGAGCGACTTTTCGACCGGCGCGATTTTCAAATTTTCGGGAGCAAAAAAAAAAAAAAAAAAAAAAATTGTGCTCTGTACCCCCCCCCCCCCCCCCCCCCCCCCCCCCCCCCCCCCCCCCCACTGAGCGACTTTTCGGCCGGCGCGATTTTCATATTTTCGGGAGCAAAAAAAAAAAAAAGTTGGGCCCCCTCCCCTAAGAAATCCTGGATCCGCGCCTGACGTACAGTACATGGCACATGACATGTACAGAGACAGAGTAATGGAAAATAAGTTTTCTGTTATGAATTTGGGATTAGGCCTTTAGGGTGACGCATAGATGTGATTGGAAGACGTGGAAGTCCCTCAATAGGCTTCGCACAGGTGTGGGGCGATGTAAATACAACATGAATAAATGGGGATATACTGACGACACAGACACCAACTGCGAGTGTGGAACATCCGTGCAATCCATGTCACACCTATTAAGATGTCCACTCCTAATCGACCAATGCTGCCTGGAAGACCTGGTGGCAGCAAATGAGAAGGCTCTCCAGTGTGCCAAGGCCTGGCAGAGCATTTGAGGACACGAAAGAAGAATACAAAGTGTATATATCCTTTTCTTGAACATGATATTTTTTATTTTTGGTGCTTGATAAATCTTTATAAATATTTATCACAACTATGAAATTTTAGATGGTTACCATTTCGTGTTTGTTTTTTGTTTTTTCTTCTTTTTACTTTTTTTCAGTTATGAGTTATGAGTTTTTGATCGATCGGGTGGGTGGTACATGGCTCTGTATAAGCTTGGCTTGTTAGAACTCTTGTGAGTAATGTGCCGCGGGATTCCATATCCTTAAACTGCTGGCGAACAGAGCAACAAGACCAAGCTCTGTAATTATTAGGATCTCTGTCCAGTAGTGCCGTGTTTGTGCCATCTAACTGGATCGACCAAATCAATTGATTCATAATATATGTATATGCAATATTTTTTCCCGTAACGTGAGAGTAATTTTAATAGTTTCATACTATTAATTAAATGTATTGTTAACTGTAACTGTATAATTGTTTTAAATGGGGGCACGCTACAAGAGTCCTACAGTATCTCGCACCCCGGGGCAACGTGTCTGACACGGCCGGCTGTAGCAACTACTCCGAAGATCAAGATTACAGTAATCTTGATCTAAGGAGACACGAACGGGTGACGCAAAAAATTTCATTTCTCAAAAGGGTGCTGTGCTGTGACCCAGCTAGAGGCCAGACCTTGTGTGTCCAGATAGGTTGTATAGATCTGGACAATTGATAATTGATTTGAAGTTTTGAAGAAGTGTATGTGCAGTACTTTGTAAATCTTTAAAGACTTAATAGGATTAAGAGGATTAATTACAAAGCATAAACGGTTACTGGTATACTTATAATATGATGGTTAAATTGATGCATATATTTTGTTACACTCAAAGGCAAAAGTGGGGTCTATATTTTTGTTAAGCATCGGGACAGTCACACTTGTACACAAAGGACACAATCCCCCCCCCCCCATTGATTCATTAATTGGATAATAAAATGTGATTATATTTCTGTCTCGTCGATAACTGACTCGGAGTCAGTAGACAGTACTCTTGACATGTATGGCGATGTGACCAAAGTTCGCTATCTCACAAATTGGTAAGATTTCAAAAATCTGATATCATCGATGGAAAGAGGAACATAAAATTACCAATAAAAAGAATTTTCTCTGGAATTAGTGAGAAATTATGAAAATATTGACAAAAAACTGCAAAATTTGCAGTAATTTGCATCTGTTCCAAAAAATTAGTAACTTACCGGTAAGGCGGCTTAGTAAGGTACTAAGGGTCTGGAATCTTCATTTTGAGAGCAGATATCCTAAAAATTGTAAGTACTGTAGTAGGCCATAAATATAATATGTAAAGCAGAGCAGAGCAGCCAGAGCTAGCAGACGACAGGTGCCGCCTTCACCACTAGAGGGCGGCATTGCACTCTGGAACACAGCTGAGCTAACTGCACACAGATCCTCTCGTGCCGACAAGTATATACGTGTGCGGCGGGAGAATTCTACCTCTTCAGCACTGACAGTAACCAAGTATCAAGCACCTATCCGGACCTGGAGGACGAATTACCCTCAAGGCCAAGTTAGGTGAGTGAGTTATGGTTGCTTCTAACAAGTAGGCGTACAGCCTACTTTATTGGCGTCACGGACAACTAGGACCTCGGGATGCACCGTTTTGGGGAGATTTTGTCTCTTGTTCTGTTGTGTGTTTTCTCTAACGGAACGGGGACCCCTTGCCTAGTCTGGCCGCGCCGGCGGGAAAAGCGCGGGGGAAACCTAGCTGCGCATTGCAGGGGAAACCTAGTTTCCGGGCGATGGTAGTGGGGTGGACCGCGCGTAGTTCCGGCTGGCACTCGTTGTAACCGTGGTCGGTATTGTGCCCAGTCGGGGAGGGATGCCGAGAAGGGCTGATGGATTCGGCGAAGTTCGGTGCTCTCCTCCCCGGTCGGGTGGGTTTCGTACTGTATGTACATCTAGTAGGGATACTAGTGTTGTAGGTAATATTGTTTCATGTATCCATGTACACAAATGCATTTTGGGAATTCCCGAATGCGAGCCGAAGCTGACGTCATATTCAGCGATGTTTGTCCTCTTCGTGAATGATATGAATTGTGATGGACGAATGGTGTGAGTGCCCTCCCCCCCTTCCTGGGAAGAACCCGAGAAGGGCTGATGGATTCAGTGAAGTTCGGGGCCTTCTCCTGGGAGATGGGATAATGGGGGATTTGGGGTATGTGCTGGGTATTTGAATTATTTGTATATTATTGTTAATATTGATGGTGTGATTGTGAGTGACCCCCCCCCCCCCCCCCCCTTCGGAGGGAATCGAGACGGGCCGAGGGATTCGGCGAAGTTCGGTGCCTTTTTCCATGAGAGGGGGAATGTGGGGGTGTGTGAGCATTTAGACAGCCATGCCAGTGCTATAATTGTATTTTTTGTTGTTTGATTGTTCGTTTTTGCAAGTTGGGGCTTTTATCCCACTTGCGATTTGAATATGGCGTCGCTTTGGAATTGATTACTCCGCGGTGATTTGGGGATTTCCCATTCACCAGCACAGCTCGAGGCCGCGTGAGCCCGGGGTTATATTTTTGCTTGGTGCGCCGTGGAGGGTTATTGCGGAGACAGGAATTCCTTTTTCTGCATTGCCTCGCCTTCGAAAGTTGTGCACGAGTTTAGAACGTCCAGTGAAATAACGATTTTGGGTGTTTGCAGGGATCGACAGTGGATTACAGTGCCCTTTTTCCGTGGAAAATAAGGTAAGTGCCACTGGGTGGTGTTGTTTGAGGCACCATTTTATATTCCTTTGTTTCAAATTCACCTCATACCTTGTGCAATTTTTCGGAGTTGTGAGGTGATAGTGACTGTGAGTTTTGCGTGTTAGTGGGCCTGGCGTGTAGCTCACCTGCCTGCTCCTGCCGGCAGGGGGCTATTGGCTAAAAGATAAATAAAATAAAATAAGCCAACAACGCAGGTCAGACTGAGAGTGGGAGTGTGTTCCCCTTTAGTCGTTTACAATTACCAAAGATCTTGGTCGATTAGACCTGGATCTGGTTTAAGTGTATTTAAATCTGTCTTTTTAGGCGGAGTCCTGGTAAGGGGGCGTGTTTCCCTTCATATTCATTTTCAAGGGAGAGTGGGTGGATTTGTGAATAAATAATTCTCATAATCTCTCCCTATTTCACAATACGGGGGTGAATCCGTATTTTCCAATTTCCGATACGTATTGTTGAAATAGTCTTGGAGCACCGGGCAGTGCCGGTTTTTAAGAATAAATCCATGCCTATTTCCGAGGAAACGGAGTCCTTTGTAATAGAGGTTCAGGGGCTTATACAGACCCTCCTTCTCGTGATCGAGGCATACAAGCAAGGGGTACTTACCCAAGTGGAACTAGTAGGCCTACTGGTAGAAATTATCTACCAGTCGGGTGAACTCAGTTGAAGCCGGAGTTTCGGCTTTTGGTTGTGGAGGCCCGCACCAAGTTTTTAATACTGCTTCAGTATGGCCAAGGTTCCATTGAACCATTGTTCATTTGAGGATTTGCTCGCCATTCCCGGAGCGACGCCGGGGCATATAGGCTATTTGTGGGCACTCCGGGGGCAGTGTGGCGAAGTCACTCAAGAGTTGTTTGAGGCGTCTTCTCATTACGAGGAGGTCAAGGACCTCCAAGGGAGTCTGGACTTCCGCCCAAGGGAGGCCGTGGGGGATTTCCCCATACGGCCGGGCGGTTTTCGGCCGTTGTCCGAGACGGGGGATGTTGGCAGTACGCCGGCAGAAACCCCGGGGGAAATCGGGGATGAGGAGCGTGGGGCACCGGTGTATCCCCACGACCGATACCCTCCCCCGCATGGAGCAGAGGAGGCGCGCCCTCGCCCAGCAGCTCGGACCGAGAATAAGGGTGGCGATGCTCAGTTGTGGGGGGAAGGGGATAGCACCCAACCCCGAGAGTTTGGGAACCGCCACAATTCGGGGTGGAGCAATGCCCCGCGTAGCGCCTACCAGGATTTACCGAGTGGGCCTGCTCCCGAGGAACGTGGTTTCTATCGGAGCGGGGGCGGGAAACACTACCGCAGGCCTCACGTGGAGCCACAGCGGAACAGGGAAGAGGTCATTAGCCGACCGCCTGTATACACTCAGGCATGGGAGCGGGGCAAGGGTTCATACCAGCCGATGCCCAAGTCTGTGGTATTTGACGGGCGGGGGAATTGGCGGGCGTTTTTCCGCAAATTCAGCGCATTTGCGGATGCCCGCGAATGGGACCACCCGCAGCGTCTAAACCAACTATGCTGGTGTTTGGATGGGTCGGCAAGCGACTTCTTTGACATGACGCAAGAGCGAGACCCGGGGGTAGGGTATTTCGGGATGGTGCGCCATCTAGAGGGCAGATTCGGGTATCGGGAACCTCCCGAAGCCGTCCTGCTCGAGTTTAACACCGCTAAGCAGGGGGCCGATGAACCCTTCTTGGAATGGGTGGACCGGCTTCACCGGCTGGCATCTCGGGCGTTTCCCGAGGTACCTGAGGCATATGTACAGCGGCAGACGGTGCTGCGAATGTGCCAGGGGTGTGTGGACAAGGATGCTGGTTACCAGGCATTAAACCAGCGCCCCTCTACCGTGGAGGAGGCAGTGGAGGCCATCCGCTGGCTCCAACACGCCCACGGGGCTATGTACGGCCGTGGGTCTCGGGCCAACGCGGAAATGCGGAAATCGGATAAAGGCACTAGGGGGCCTGAAATTCGAGAGGTGGAGATCACCCCGCAAACCACGGATGCCCGACTATCCGGACTAGAGCTTCGGATATCTGAACTAGAAGGCCATGTGTCCGGGTTGGTGAGGAGCCTGGGGAAACTCATGGCAGCTCAAGGTGGAACGCAGGCATCTATGAAGACCACTCCGTCGGGGAAGAGGAACCTATTCCTTGAAACCCCCGAGGACAATTTTGGCGGCTCGGACGATTAAGTTGTTGTTCAACCCGCCATGTAATAGCGCCTGATAAGATATGGATGGGAGAGAACATCCCTATCATTACGAGGGAAGGGGTTAGGACTCGCCACTTGGAATTTTAGAATTTAGAATTTTGGAATTCAATATGCCCTCAATTCCGAGCGGGAGGCTCGGGATTATCTCTGCGAGGAATTGGAAATCTCCCGAGGCATTTTCCGGGTGTTCGCTTAACACGCCGCCCCTCATGCCCCAGTGGCGCGTGTTCCAGTTCTTCGTAGGGAGATTGATCCATCGGACCAATGGGCGGGGTTTTACCGCCTAGGCCGGTTTAATCGGGTCGTGGAAATACCACGAATGACTGCGGGAAGAGCTCCCCAGTAGGAGTCAGGCCCGGGTGGTCCCGAGGCCTGCCTCAAGGCAGCCTTAGACATTGGGTCGGGCGCGGAAGGAGTATCCGCATTTTTAGTTCGGGCGTTCCTCCCGGTTTCGGGGTATTTCTCCCCGACCAGCGAGTCGCTTTTAGGGCGGTCCCTACGAACAGACTCCTGGTGTGCATGGAGACAGATTCTCCACACTTTTATCCTTGGTGAGGTAACCGAGGTGATGGCCTCCATTTTTATCAGAGCAAGTAGGTAAACTGCGTGCTCGGCGGGGTATTCAAGGGGCGATGGAAATTTCCCCTGCTTTCAGAGTTGGGTGTCGGATGGCTGACCCCTGCTACCCCGCGCGGGGTGTTAACTTACACCCTGCATTGGGCGTCACTGTAGCTGTCAGTGGCACCCTCTAGGGAACGGATCCCTGGATGCCGCGCGCAGCGTCATTGAACCCAGGGCGGACCTGGAAGTTTTATATCGGTTATCCTGGGTGAACGGCCATTGGAGTCAGGGGGCATAAATTACATTGATTTAAGGCCCCGGTACCTTGCCGGCTTGCAATGCGCCTGGGAGTTTTCCTTTTGGCATTTATTATTTTGGTTGGGTTGCCTTGTCCATTTTTATATTAAAAAGGGATAAGGCGACTGGCTACATAATTTTTTCACTTTTTCTGTTAATTGTTATGGTTAGGGTGTTTTGGGTTTTTCCCCGTTTTTGATGTTTTACCGAGTTTTTGTTTACGGTAGTTTGGCCTGTGTTTTTTAAATAAACATTTAGGCCTTGGTCGCAGCCTGTGACGCAAGTGGAATTAGGGGTTAATTAGGGATTAATTGGGTTGGGCTCTCCCTGGGACTACTTTTTGGAAATGGGACTTATTTTTTAAAACGGGGGGGAATGTAGTAGGCCATAAATATAATATGTAAAGCAGAGCAGAGCAGCCAGAGCTAGCAGACGACAGGTGCCGCCCTCACCACTAGAGGGCGGCATTGCACTCTGGAACACAGCTGAGCTAGCTGCACACAGATCCTCTCGTGCCGACAAGTATATACGTGTGCGGCGGGAGAATTCTACCTCTTCAGCACTGACAGTAACCAAGTATCAAGCACCTATCCGGACCTGGAGGACGAATTACCCTCAAGGCCAAGTTAGGTGAGTGAGTTATGGTTGCTTCTAACAAGTAGGCGTACAGCCTACTTTAGTACGAAGTGGTATCGACTGATTGTATGGTTTCTTGCCTTGCAAATTATGAATTAATCATATTTTTGATGGATCGCATCAACTGTACATCCCTGTGCGCGATATAAGGTCTTTGTTTTTATGACTTTTTTAGTTGCCGCACACACGCCGATAGGACATCAAATTTTTAGATTGCGATATATCTCCGGAATCTTTTGACGATAAATTTTCTAGTTGAATCAATTTGTAGTAAAAAACTTTTGTCATCCATTTGGTAATAGACTAATTGAAATAAATAATTTTTTGTAGAATATGAGAAATCATCATAGATCGAATATCAAAATATTTTGGCTCAGTCAGTAGAGCGTCCGCCTCACAACTGGGAGGTCGTGGGTTCGAAACCCGGCCGCGTCATACCAAAAGACGTTAAAAGATGGGAGTTGTTGCTACATGTACCTTGTTTGGCGTTCAACAATAAGGGATAGAGCAACGTCGATCTGGCGCTGCTCAGTGGCTGCCGGGCTCACGATCAATTGGGCAAAAAGAATTTCCGTTTTGGTTTAATAAAATTTGGAGTGGACTAAAGTATTAGGCTATTATGAATAGGGTCTAGACTATTATTATTAAAATCTCTGCGAACTTTGGTCATCCCTTCATAATTAATATAATTAATTTAGGGTTTGAAGTACTTTGGACGTTTGAAGGGGAAGAATTGAGAAAGAAACAAGGCTGACACACAGATACACACACATTCATGCTGACAAACATTCAAACATCACAATCATGCATTATTTGTGTTCCCTTCTTGCCTAATCTTGGGCTTGCATGTCTTGCAAGCATCTTACCTGCACTGCATGCACTGCAACTTGCAAGGTACGGTACTGTGGCTGACTGGTTGTGCGATGCCAGTCTGTATCAAAACTATCAAATTATCATGTCAACCGGCAAAAATACGGTAAATCACCGAATACAATATATTAACGAACCTGAGTAGGCCTACAGCTAGACTTTTACTGTGTAAATGGCTCACCGGCTCACCAATTCTTGGTTCTTTAATTTATTCCTGATTCTGCTCTTTAAAAAATGCTAAATCGGTCCTTTTCTCGAACACTCTGCGCGATGATTCGGGGATTTCATTGATCGCAGAGCTCTCCAGCTGAACTTTATAAATAACATGACCAAGATTGATGAAAGCCCACTTCCGCTTCCGGGTCGCTGAAAATTTTAGTTACCGTATACCTGTACTGGATCTGCGCCTGCTACATTAATTTCAGATTCTATTTTTTTCTTCATTTGAATATAATGAATATTTAATCATTTCAGTATTACTCCTCCAATCTTTGTGAAACAAACCATATCATGCCTCATTACCTTTTCTTTCTCTCCACTTCGGAGGCCTTTCTTTCTCTCCCTATATCAAATGCCTTTTCTTTCACATCTCTCTCTCTCTCTCTCTCTCTCTCTCTGTAAATCTTTTTTTTTTTATCTTTACTTTATTTCCATCTTCTGTTTTTCTGCCAATTCACTTTTCTATACTTCTGTTTAGGCCTTGTTTATCAAAGACTTGATAATATCACCTAATTAATTCATTTTCCTTCTTTCATAATCTCTGATTATGATTTCTTAATTCCAGTTAAACCTACAACATATGATAAAAGTTTTTCTCTTACTAAATATCAACAATTTCAAATGGGATCTGACATATGTCATGATTCAACTATATGCAGTGTCTCAGCATGCTGCTTTTCACTCCTGCATAATCATCTTCTATATGAATCCATCAAATACATGACAAAATTACTGACAATATATACATCACCTAGCTTCAACCCTATCCTTTATAGAAGTCTATTCACATGCATCTAGCCTAATCTAATGATGCAAAACAAAATGTTTTAATTCCAAGTAACAACACTGAACAAAATAAAGGACAAAATGTAAATTCTTTTTCTTTTATTGCGGTCATCGATTACTATAAATTATATGATGTCTTAGCTCAGTCATCATTCCCCATCCATGACTATACCTCACTCCTGAAGGTCAATGTTACTTTTATAATCAGCGTCTAGTCGAGTTGTAAAAGCACTCTTTTTAAGCATATACACGTGTTCCCCCTTCCCTCCTTGACTATGTAAAGAAACTAACAAAGCCAACACTTGTATAAAAGGTCAATAAGCAACTTTAATTTTATTCCTGTATTCAATTCCAAATATGCAATAAAGCACACTTACTTAAAGCAAGTATTTCTAAATCTTAATCTTAATAATAAGTTGGATGTGTTTGCAATTCTAAAATTATTATAAATGCTAATTCATTGCCGCACAGTCTGTTACAACTAACATGTATGACATAGAAACATACACTCAAACTAACAAAAGAGTTCACATTAAAGATGAAGTTGAGTTCTGGTCATGCGATTGCATTGTGAAAGAAACGGTGTGGAATCAACCAGAAAAGGTTGATCATCTAGCATATAAGAATTTGTATTTATTGCAAGGTTCTGGAATCATCAAAAAGGTAAGAATTTTGGCCAAGTCTTGGTAAAGTTACAAACACTGTACACAGAAAGATGTATATGGGACTACACAAACACGTGGCGTAAAAATCCTACCCCCGAGTTTTACGATATTACATGACATATTTAGAATATAAAGGCAATTGAAGAGCCATGCTTTTCAGGGAACATTTCTTATCTGATGTTCTTCCACACTTGCATAATATGAATGATAACGCTCACAAATTATTTTTCACCTCTTCCCAGAACTCAACCTTCTCTTTAACAATAATAAACATACATTTAATGTCTAAGGTGAAATTATCAAAATTAAGAAGATTGTTTATTTTTTATATTTTTTAAGGCAACCATATTTCCTGACAAACCCAACCGAGAAACAAGACAGTACCTGCATTCTAGTACCGGTAATAATAATGATAATAATTACAATGATAATAATGGGATTTATATTTACGTAGCACCTTTTCAATAGGACACAAGGCGCTACAATAGACCCTCTCCATTTTAATTCCAAGTTATTCTAGATGTTATCACACATGTATCGGAAATTAAATATCTTTTTATGACAAATTAATTAATATAAAACTGGCTAATGAGACTAGGTACTACTGTGTGTATAATGACATGTGTTCTTGATGATGGCATTGAATAGTACATCAGACAATTACACATGTTTCACATAACAATACCCATCCATATCAATTGCCCTGTGTCTCAAACAATTCTAATTTTATATACAGGAATGTCAATAAATCAAAATCATTATAAAATCACATGAATTAATTAACAGACATCAGAATCACTGTACAGTGTATGTAGTTTTTGCATGATGTGTGACAATATCTGAGATATGATGCAAAAAGTTTAAGTGAACCCCTCCATTGTAAATATACAAATTAGATAAACATAAACATGAAAGTAATGTTAGGATAGGAAGTGTCATTGCCATGGTAACGTCATTGGTGCTGGATTCTGCAAGTACGACATCACAACAGCTGATATTGATAACCTGCATGGAAGAAAGAGAGAGAAAAGACAAACTGATAAACGCACAGGTAAGATGCTCATTTATTTTTATCTGGAGCAAGAAAGATTCAATCAAACCTACGGAAAACAAAAAAGTGGCTATCATAGATACACTGTAGGTGGACTTTCTAGATAGGTTCTCCAATACATTTTTCCTCTTAGAGGGAGACAATATAGGTGACCGACAGGTGGTCTTTATAGAAAGGTGACCACGAAGACAAGTTTGACTATAAATCCTTCGCTTCTGTCATGATCCTAAGGAAGCAGGAGTGGTTCTAGAAGATATTCTTTGGATGTGAGAGGCTTTGGTTTTTGCATTCATTTTCTATTTGTGCCTTTAACAAAATTTACAAAATTAATGGGGGGGGGGGGAATGAAGAAATATTGTGAGGGTGGGTTTGAGCCACCCAAGCTTCCTATCCCCCCCCCCCCCCCCACCCCCCAACTACAATTTAATTAAAATTCAAAATATTGAGGGGAAAACAAAGAACTGAGCAAAAATATACAAGCTCTCAAACTGAAGGAATTAGATGATTTCTCAAATGATTTCTTACATAAAACTGCTAAACATTTGTTTTCCATCCTCGTTGACTCTTGAGTTAGAGAAGCTGATGAAAGAACAGAAGACAGCCATCCAGGCACACCATTTCATCTACCATAAAAAAAAAAAACAAGATAGAAAACAAAGAGTAGTGATTTTCAAATGTTTTTTTTTTTGTTTCTTAAGATATATTACAAATTGAATTTATTAGAATGTAGACAATAACTTTTTTAAACTTAATGGAAAATAGAAACATTACACAAGACATTTTTTCCTTGATATATCTTTATAAATAAAACCAAATATAAATAAATTGTTCTTGGTAAATTAATTATAACATGAATAACTAATATAAATATTTATAAGTATCCTGCTAGTAGTAATAGTGATTCAATGACTCTTTATCATAATGTCAAGTCCATTGTACATTAATTTCACCTTCAATACAAGTATGATGAAACTCCAAACATAAAAAACAGTATCATTTCACTAAAATTCACTTTTATTATTTTTAATTAATGATGTATGCAATTTTAAATGACAGGCTACCAGTACCAATTTGATACAAAATACAATAATGTACTAAAATCGTTGATATACATTCAGCTAATTGGACCAAATATCTAGGACTTGCCCATCTACAGTCTCTTCTAATTCAATCTCATATTACTGGTAATAATCTACATACATGTATGTTCCTTAGAAGTAATAACTCGCTTGTTGGTCATTTATAAACAAAAAATGGAGAATGCACACCTTTTACACAGTGATAATTACTAGATTAACAGGATGAAAAGTAGCATATCATTTACCAGCACAATTTCTGGAAAAGTTCATCTCCTTTGGTGACAAATTAAGCTAAGTCAGAAATGTTGGCATTAAATCATTTAATTTTGACTATGGATAATAGCTTGCAGTAGCAGAGCAATAGAGGGCAGTGGTAGAGCAGTAGAGGGCAGCAAATTATAAGCTGCCATACCTGTATTGGTTACAGAGTACAAGGTTTGATTATAAGGTTGTTTATTGGACGAGTGAGAGTACAAACCTTCATCATGAGTCCAAACATACTGAACACCATGCCTAACAGATTCATGTAGTCTGCTGTGGGGTCATCAGATGCACTATTCTCATCAGGTGGAGTATATCTGTACATTTGGGGATGAAGAAAACACTTAAAGGTTATCAAGTGCTGGAGCAGGTAAAGGATGCAGCCATTAAAGGGATCGTTTAACAACATTAAATCTGAGATGCACGGCCCTTCATGTTATCAGTGTCTGTGATATGGTGCATTATTGAAGCCCTAAAAAAATTGCGCTTCAAAATGATCTAGAAGTGCCTCAAAAAAGTAAAAACCTTTGAGTGACCGGTTTTACCATACTTGTTTTCCCCAATAGACTGTAGCTTTATGAAAACCGTTTGGCAAACGCAAAATTTGATTTCAATTTTCAATAATAAATATCTTGATTATCAGACAGGCGATTGGCTTGTAAAAGTCATGGGCTTCGTGACTGACCTAAAGGTTTATAATTATCATTGCAGCATGAGCTAAATCAAGAATTTTTTTTAAGGATCTAAGACAAAGTCACTGGATCCCTTTAAGAATGAACCTAGAATGGTTTTGCTAACTCTGTAAAGTCCTAGTGATAGAAAAGTACATGTATAACAATTGTCTAGACAATGTTCTGAAGTTTCACAAAAATATGAAATGAGAACAATTGTATACATGTATTGTGAGCTTTTTAGAACCGTCAAAACTCTGTCTTGGCGAACATCACAGTTCCAACAATATTTAAAAACTCACCTCTTCTGTAATAACATAATTGTAAAGCGCATTTGAACATGTATGTGGAAAATGTGCTATATAAATAAATTACCATTATTGTACCACATAAACATGAAAATAATTGAAGTAACATAGTTGTGACCAAAGTGTCTATGTCCAAAAGGTGTTTTTCTAGTTCTGAGCAATTTAAGAGCAATTATATTCTCAAATAGTTATGAATACTGTTGTGAGTGTTGTTCCTCACAGCTTTAATAGAATGAGATATGTATTACTCTCAATTTATTTTAAATCTATCAGTTCTTATTCTACTTAAGCTGCCATTTTGCAGTAAAAGACAATTAGTCTATGATAAATGATTCAAAATTTTGATAAGTCCATGAACTAATAGCGGTAGTCAAACTCTTAGGCCCTCTTTATAACCTTTATAGAGGGGCAATACAAGGGAAAATCATTTGTCTTATTGTTACAGCTAGTAAACAATTTACCCCTAAATTCTTTGAGTTAACAGTTAAGAAAATGGAGAAAAAATAATAATAACAATAATAAAAGAATCATCTGCAGAGAACGCGAACAAAGGTTAGACTTGGGTTCCATGAACACCAAGGCTAAACACCAATCTTATCAGGGTTTTTTTTTTTTTTTGTTACTTGTTACCAGTTATGGTCATGCGATCGCATTGTGAAAGAAACGTAGTGGAATCGATCAGAAAAGGCTGATCATCTAAGTAATGGTGTGTACTGCAAGGTTCTGGAATCATCAATATGATAAGAAATTTGGCCCAGTCTTGATAAAGTTACAAGCACAGTACACATAAAGATGTATATGGGACTACGCGACATGTGTGCGACACGTGCGTTATATCTATCAGGTCCAAATATAATAATTTACCAAATATCTCAATTAGTAGGCGGTTTCTAGGCAAAATTTGTATGATCACGTATTAGTCAAAACATATTCTTTCACATGATTGGAAATAAGAGCTTCCATTTCATTTTTTGAGAGGGGGGCATTTCCAAAACTGGTCTTTATCTTTAATGTCAGTTGGGAAAAAAATGTTTTTCAAAACGTTCAAGGTTGGCACGATTTAAATTGCATTTATTGAAAATCGATATTTAAGTCACCTCGATTTTTGTTTGTAAATCAGTGTTTAAAATCACCTACATAGCTTGTGTGTAAAAGAAATTTTGTTTCAAATATCTTAAGTGACTATCTTTTCTTTTCTCTTTTGTTCATAGTTTTTGTTCTAGATCATCTTTCCAACCCTGAAATAATTTATTCTTCATATCATTCATTAGGTGAATTACTCATTTTAAAATAAAATTAATGATCTTTCCATATCCACAGCTGGCGGCATATACAAATACAACTCATTGTGGAAATTATTTATCTGATTTGATATATGAGCAAAAAAATCAAGACAATTTTGAATCATGATATAAAATTGCTGGCTTGTTGCTTTTATCAATGTAGTAAGATTCACCCCCCCCCCCCCTCCAAAAAATTAAAAAAGTAATAATGAAATTTTTAAAAATCCCAAAGCCAAGGCTAAACTGCTCACATCATTGTACTTTGTATTCTTATAGTAATAGTAATATTCACAGCTTGTTATTCGTCTTTTCACACTTCATTACGACGACAAGTCCAAATTTCTATGGATTTGGAGTCGCGATTGGACCACGTAGAACTTTAGCTTACATTTAACGCCTGCGCATTACGTTCATCTGATCTTAGCCTCATTTTCCTAAATTGGCGCCTACAAGGGCTCTTCTTATTGGCTATCACTGGCTGCTATTTGCTCAATGTTATAAGATATTGACATGTCACGTCAGTGTGTTATGTAATATTACGTATTGGCATTTCCATTGTACTTAGACTAAGTTGCTCTTATTTAAAGTTATGTAGGCCCTCTTTCACTTAAATTTTGAAGCCACTCAAGCGGATCGGCCAATAGGAGCGCATTCTCTAAATGTATAGCGCTCAATGCATAAACTAAAGTTCTAACAGTTACATGCGGACTTGGCTCTGTCGTCACTCTCTCATCACACAACCACACACATCTATTTTCAACACCCTTGCTTATTTTTTTCATGAAATAGGAAGCCGGGTTTAGCCCAAAAGGCTAGGTGATGATATAAAATATGATTTTGATGTCAATATCATATTTTATATCATCACCTACCACAGGCCCCAGCTACGGTACCCCTTACTCCTTAGGCTTAGCATGGGCTTGGCCTTGCCCTAAATACTGGCAAACACTACGAAAAAACGAATGCGTGGGAAAACGAATGACTGTTCGATCCAATTCCAAGACCAAGGCAAGTGTAAAAACTAAAATGGAAGTTACGCCACGCTCCGTGCATGCACACTAAAACATAAAGTATCAATTCAAACTCACTTTTTAATTTTATTAGGCCTTTTTACGTCAGTAGAACTGTTCGTAGTAGTGGTATTCGACGACATAGTGGCAAATGATGAATCTCTAACTTGTCCTCGCTCAATAAAGCTGGGTTACGACTGCAACAAAGACTAATCATACCTGGAAGAAAAAATACTCGACCAAGATACATTGTATTTCATGTCTCATCGATTTTCGACCCGATTCCCAGTAACTCGATCATACTTACATTTATCAAGTTGCCCAACAAATAGTTCTTAGATCTTTGGTCCCTTATCTAATTGCCAGGGGGTGAAGAAAATTAAGGGGTACAAATTATTAAAAAATCGATTTAAAAAAAGAAAGAAGCTAAAATAACCAAATAAAAAAAAAACGATTAAAAAAAATAAGCTAAAATAACAAAATAACTTCTGAGACTATTGACTTTGTACAAGTATGTGTGACATATTGTTAGTTGACTGAAGGGGAGGGGGGGGGGGGGGGTAAATGACAAAAAATTACCGTTTTTGCGGGGGGCCGAGTTGGCCCCGGGTCCGAGTTAGCCCGTACATGTCGGATTATTTCTCAAGCCCATTATTTTAAGAATGAAAACGAAGCGTCAAACGCTTTTGTATATTGATATATATTTCAATTTCAATTCAATTTCAATTTCAATTTATTTTCCATCTTTAAAAAAGAACAAATATAACATAGTATTGACACATTGTATTAAAATAACAATATAAACATAAACATGGAGGGATACCCTTAATAAGCAGGTTGCTTGTAAGCAGGGCCCCGGTATACAATATAAGATTTATAACTTTGTTACAGAAATATCTAAACATTTGCGAAAATGATAAAACAGAAAATTAAATATAAATTAGGAAATTGTGATCATCTTAACAGCTACTATAAATAGACAGATACAGGTACACGTCCACACAGAGACCCTAGCATACACACACTAGCATACACACACAATAAGATAGATGAGATATAGTGAAATATCACAGGGAAGGAATACATAGGGAGAAGGAAAAAGAGAAAGAGAAAGAGAGAGGGGGGAGTCAGTATTGCAGAAGAAAAAAATTAGAATGAGTAGGCATGGTGAAAAGCAAAGAGAAAGAGTAAATTGTAGGAGTGGAGAGAGCTCATGAAATAGGAGAAGAAAATTAGAATTAATTAATACATTTTATATAAGCACGTATTAATATTGGTGAGATACAGTCTTTTTATAGAAAATTTGAATTTTGACAGAGTAGAGCTTTGTTGAATACTGTGATCAAGGCTGTTCCACAATTTAATATATTTTACACGGAAGGAGTTTAAGGCTATGGAAGTGGAAATCTTAGGTTGATGAAATAATTTACATTGACGAGTGTTGTAATTATGTACAGACGAATTAAGGGTGAACATATTTTCAAATATTTTTGGTAAAAATCCAGACTGGTATTTATACACAAAAATAAGAGAGTTCATAGAAATTAATTCAGAGATTGGTAAAATATTCATTTTCTTAAATAATGGCATACTCGGACAGTAATACGGGGATGATGTAATAAGTCTAATTGCTTTTTTCTGAAGTATTATTAATCTAGAAAGATGGCTTTTGAAAGTATGACCCCATACTAAAATACAGTATGTTAGGTGAGGCAAGATTAAACTATAATATAAAGTGACAAGTATGTTTTGTGGTAATATAAATTTGAGCCTTGATATGATTCCTATACATCTTGATACTTTAGTACAGATACTACTAATATGCGGTTTCCATGAGAGAAATTCGTTGACTGTAATACTGTACCTAAAAATTGAACATTATCCACACGTGATATATCATGACCACCGCAATAGTAATATTATTAAGATCATTCGGGACCCTCCTGTTCCTCGTTCTGAAAATCATAAACTTTGTTTTGTCAAAATTCAATGAGAGTTTGTTGCAACAGAACCAATCATATAAATTATTAACTTCTTTATTAGTAATGGACATTAAATTATAGATATTCTTGTGAGAAGTTAAGATGCATGTGTCATCAGCAAATAATGAATAGCGAAATAATTTGGAAGATTGTGTTATATCATTTATATAAACAAGGAACAGGAGGGGCCCGAGTACAGAGCCTTGCGGAATTCCATATTTAGTAAGTTTACGTTGAGATTGGACACCATTGACCACAACATACTGATACCTATTATTCAAATAATTTTTAAACCAATCTAAAGCTAGCCCTCTAACACCATATGCATTTAGTTTACGAATGAGTATGTTGTGGTCAATGGTGTCAAAGGCTTTTGACAGATCCATAAATAATCCAATACAGTAACTGCCTTCGTCAATTTGTTGTGATATAAAATTTGCAATATTTAATACACCCATAGAAGTTGAAAAATTTTCACGGCGAAACCAAATTGTTCAGGTATGAGGATGTCATTAATTTGAAGGTGGGAATACAATCTTTTATGAACAACTTTTTCTAGAATTTTGGAAAAAAAATGGATATGAATATTCCATTGATTTTCTTCTTATTCTACACGGGGTCTCTTTATCCGATAATTACGTAAATCAAAAAAAATATTGTATGCTATTTTGTCAACCAGAGTAGAGGCAATTTTCAACTAAATCAAAATTGTTTTACCTATTTATTTCAAAATTTGGGTGTATTCATTTGTTTGCCGGTTGTACTTTGCATGCCAATGCCATTGGCCCATGGTGCAAGCGGGTTTGGCTTTAATATAAAATGCAGTTAACTACCAGAATTTTTTTCAAGCTTATACAAAAAAGTTTTAAATTTCTAATATGTTAAGTTAGTATAAAAAACATCATATCAGACTACAAATTATCGCTTATTGTATTTGAATTGATGGTCGTCATCGTACATCCATGGAGTTGGCGCACTGGGTGTTATAACGTCGTCCCCTAGTTAGTTTGAATAAAAAGTCTCAGATTGCTCAATGGCGCTATATGGGAAACGGACCGTTTAAGTGTCTTTACTAAAGTAGGCCCATATGTCAAATTACTTTTCACCTTTTCATTTTTGACCACAGATCCCTAAGATTTCTCTTTTAAATTACAAACTTTGTTTAGATAAGATAAGATATTTATAAGATAAGATATTTATTCGTCTTTCTTTCAAATAGCACACAGAGCATAAAATTAGATCATTACACATTTACAATGTAAAATAACAAATTATGGCAATGATAAAAACAAAGTTAACTAAAAGAAAGACGAGGAGACCCTGGTAAAAGCAGAGCTTGTAAGTTTTAGGGTCCCCTCTGAGCCAGATAAAAATGATGAGTAGATATTTGTGACTACCTAAGAATACACAAGGGAAAAGTTAGTATAACAAACAAGAAGTGTACAAACACAACAACAACAATAACAACAACAAAAAAGAGAGACGAGACTAGACAAGACGGGAGAAAAGAGAAAATATGAGAAATAATAGAAGACTACAGCATGATCGACAATAGACACAGCATACAACGGGCACAAGACAACAAGGGGAGGGAATAGGAGGTCGACAATATGAACACATTCAGTTAGACACATATTAATATCAAGAAGAAATTTTACATTTAAAGTCAAACATAATAGATCTTGGCACCATAATAACTATAAAAATGAACTACTCTATGAGTCACAGTATGTATCGAGAAGATAAACCTTAAGTGTACACTTAAATGAAGAGAGACTAACAGATTGCTTAACGCTAGAGCCTAGAGAGCTCCAAAACCTAGGTCCAGTAAACACCAAAGTATTAAAAGTAAACTTTGTCCTTACTTGGGGTAAGTGAAACGCAGAGGCATTTCGTGTAGCATGGTCATGCAATTGACTAATTTTCTTTTAAATGCTGACAAGAGCCTGTGGAAGGGCACCAGAATCGAAGTCGTACATTAGAGAACCCAGATGAAGGTGATAGATATCTTGCACCTTTAAAATTCTATGCGTATATATAAAAAAGTGGATTAGTGTGCGTACGAAAACTAATGGGGGGTGCAGCAGGTCTTCATACTAAATGTGGGGTCGGGTCATCCGAAATACAAGTTCGACCCTACCGTATCGAAATCGTATTTTTTTAAAACGAGATGTCTAGCGCTTGGCTAAGGCCTTCTGTCATTAATTTTTGTCTATTAATTAATTTTGATAAACAAATAAAAGAAATATGAAATCAAAATAAAAAATGATCAAGCATATATATTATTTTATTTGTAGAAAACTATACAAATATTTTTTATATATTACTGATGAATAAATAACCTAAATCAATTTATTAAAAGTGAATGAATCAAATTGGCAATTTTATTTTTAACTGCATCCCGAAACTGTTCATCGGATATAATCTGTAATTTTGCTGATAATTTTGCTGCCAGTTAAGAACTAGAGGCCTTGTAAGTCATAAAAAACTTAATTTTTAACTTTAGTCGTAAAAATATCTCTTTGGTATTCGTTGAGACGTAGGCATATAGTTACCCAATTTTTGTTGAGCAAGAAATGAAGAATTACATTGCCCCATTTATTGATAATTATGTTGTACTGCCTCAGTCCAGGTAGATCTCCGTCATGGCAACAAATGGGGCGCTACTGCGCTAGTCTACTGTACTTTCATATCCATTTTTTTTACCCGGCGTGGAGATAGCCTACTAAAACATACCAAAAAATCAACTTTATCAATTGTTCAAATAATGGTCATGATATAATTTAAAGTCATTATAGGGTCTATTTCTTGCCCCTTTCGTTAAATTTGTGTCAATTTTTGGATCTTTTTTGTAGTATTTTTCCTAAAAACGAAGACATATTATGATAGACCTATTCACTTTCTCACAGGTTTCACAGCAAACCGCTGCACAATTACAACAATTGCATACCTTACCGACGAAGGGATACCGGCTCCTTTACTCTATTTCTTGCCCCTTTCGTTAAATTTGTGTCAATTTTTGGATCTTTTTTGTAGTATTTTTCCTAAAAACGAAGACATATTATGATATTCACTTTCTCACAGGTTTCACAGCAAACCGCTGCACAATTACAACAATTGCATACCTTACCGACGAAGGGATGCGGGCGCGCGAGCGTGGGTAAATTCGATTACAGTCCATAACTTCACGCACGCACGCGCGCCCGCACCTCTTCGTCGGTACGGTATGCAATTGTATT